TAGCTACCGGTTCTGCCGAAGTGGTGCGGACTGGCTGAATCCCACCACTGGATCAGGAGGATTATTATTACATTGTAGCATTTTGTAATTAGAAAAATATATGCAATTTTTTTATTTTTTATTTATTTTCACATATCCATTCTACCACAACCCAAAGATCTTGCTGGCTATTGTAAGCTGTATTGAATATTCAGATACTAAAAGGCATGTGAGCAAATCAAACAGATCAGCCTCTAGAAGTTTCCTTTGTTTGAAAGACTGCTCCATCCAGGATCATTTTAAAGTTAAAGAACCATGATCATTAGGTTTGAAGTTGACCATCAATTCAACATCCAGTTTTGCTTGCCGTGATGTAAAAAAGATGTTGAGACCCTAGAAAGAGTACAGAGAAGAGCAACAAAGATGATTAAGGGACTGGAGACTAAAACATAAAAAGAACAGTTGCTGGAATTGGGCATGTCTAGTTTAACGAAGAGAAGGATGTGATAGCAGTGTTCCAATATCTCAGGGGCTGCCACATAGAAGAGGTAGTCAAGCTATTCTCCAAAGCACCTGAAGGCAGGACAAGAAGCAACTGATGGAAACTAACCAAAGAGAGAAGCAACCTAGAATTAAGGAGAAATTTCCTGACAGTTAGAACAATTAATCAATGGAACAACCTGCCTCCAGAAGCTGTGAATTCCCCAATACTGGAAGTTTTTAAGAAGAGACTGGATAGTCATTTGTCTGAAATGTCTATATAGGGTTTCCTGCCTGAGCAGAGGATTGGACTAGATGACCTCCAAGGTTCCTTCCAACTCTGTTATTCTATTATCCGCAAATAGCAGTTGGATATGGCACAGTCCAGCATCTTAAACATACTCCTGCAGTGCTCGAAGTTACATTTAGGGTTTTTTAAGTTAGAAACACAGTGGTTAAGTGAATCTGGCTTCCCCATTGAATTTGCTTGTCAGAATATTGCAAAAGGTGATCATATGACTTCGGGACACTAAAACCATCATAAATGTGAATCAGTTGGTCATATTGACCATGTGACCATGAGGATGTTGCAATTGTAAGTGTGAAAAACAGTCATAAATCACTTTTTTCATGAGGAACATACCCTAAAGCAGTGGTGGCGAACCTATGACACGGGTGCCAGAGGCGGCACTCAGAGCCCTCTCTGTGGGCACGCGCGCCATCGTCCCAGTCCTAGGCCTTCAGCTGGGTTTTATAAAACCTTTTCATTTTAGGCCTCCGCTGTGTGCAAAAAAAAAAAAAGGTTCAATCAGTCAATTTCAACTTCTCGCGGGAAAAAAAAGATCTTGCAAAGTTGGAATTGATTGAACTTTTTAATCCCACCCAGTCTACCGTTACCACCGCAGCCATACCCACCCAATAGGCCACACCCACCTGGCACTCAACGATGCATAAGTGGGTTTTGGGTTGCAGTTTGAGCACTCAGTCTATAAAAGGTTCGCCATCACTGTCCTAAAGGAAAAATATTTTGCTCAAAAATACACATGTGGTTAGAGAAATGTTAAAAAATCATGTAGATCTTAAGCCAGAACTATTTGTTCTAGATATAATCACAGAGAACTATGACAAAAATGTATATATTTAATATTACATGTATTAACAGCAGCGAGAATTACATTTGCACAGTATTGGAAAAGAAGAAACACCAACAGAAGAAGATATAATTAGGAAAATTTTGGACTGTGTGGAAATGGATAGGCTTACATTGAAAATGAAAGGGAAAGAAGATACAGAATATTTTCAAACATGGGATAATTTTTACAAATGGCTAGAAAAATGGAGTAGAGAGTAGGAATTGAAGTTATATTACTATTAATGTCAAATATGTGAACCCAGACAACACGTTGCTTATTAAGCACTAAAGATTGTAACTATAAAAACTTAATAAAATATCTATTAAAAAGATAAATCACTTTTTTCAGTACCGTTGTAACTTTGAATGATCACTAAACAAACTGTTGTAAAACAAGGACTACCTGTATTTTATTATCCTGAAGATTAGTATTAGTAAGAAGAAAATTTCTCTGTATACATAGAAATCATTACATCCTACTTCCAGGTTGCTGATACATATTATCCTAAACCGGCTTCCTCAGTGTAAGGGGTTCCACAAATGTGTTTATTTCAACTGTCAGTATTCTCAGCAAAGAGCATATTTTAGATATTGTGTAAATTGTTTTTCCCCCCCAGTTTTTGTAGCATCATTGTTACACATGGTGGGATGGAGGAGTTAAGAGAGAAACTCAGTGTTCTTGAGTTAATGCATACACAGCAGTAAATATTCATGAGGAACCTTTGCATCCTTGAATTTTTTTTTCAATATTTGTCTAACTCAAATTGCATCGGAATATAGTTTTCTCTTAAATCTACTTTTTATAACTGATACCATCACTCTAAGAGTTTACATTTATGTTTATAATAAATGTTTTTATTATGCCATAAACAATAATTTTGGAAATAGTTGAGAAAATAATATAGGAGGAAAAAATTGTTCTCAGCAACATCAGTACAGGAATGCAAGTAGTCCTCGACTTAATGACCAGTTGTTTAATGACTATTCAAAGTTATGACACTTGGAAAGAGTCCATAGAGCACTTCAGAATAACAGAGTTGGCAGGGACCTTGGAGTCTTCTAGTTCAACCCCTTGCTCAGGCAGGAAAACTTATACCACTTCAGACAAACAGTTGTCCAGTCTCTTCTTAAAAACCTCCAGTGTCAGAACACCGATAATTTCTGGAGGCCGTCATAAAATGTCCCCCTCCCTACCGTCATGTGACTGTGATCTGGGTAATGGGCAACCTGTTTGAATTTATGATTGGTTGCCAAGTGTCCTGCAATCATGTGAGAAAGTCAATGGGGAAGCCGGCAGGGAATGTTACAAGCTTCTGTCGCCTGCTGCAGGTTTTTCCTTTCTCTCCGTGCACATTCAAAATCTAGCCAGGATGATAGGTTCATTAATTACAACATAATTAGATTATAGATGTGGTTTGTGCTGTGTACAGTACCCTTGAAAAATATTAAAAATCTAAATTGGTCCAAAAGCAGCATCCTAATTATTAATGGGTGGGATATAAGGAACATGTGCTATCCTAATTTAGAGTAGGTATACTGGCTTCCTGTTTAAAATTCTAGTAATCTTTAAACTTCTTAATATTTTAGGATCAGGATGAGAATCTTCTGCTTTCTTCCATACTATCTCTGCTAGCCTGATGACATCATCTTTGGAATCCTTTCTGTATGACTCAATAACCCTTGAAATCTGTTGGCCTGTGGTTAGAAAGAGGATCTTTTCAGGGCCTGCATCAAAACTCTGCAACCTCTTCTCTTGGTAAAGACTTTCCTTTTAGGGAGGCCTTTAGTGTGTAATCTCATCTGGTATTTTTTTTTTAAAATATTATCTCAAGACTTAAATATTTCTAGAACAATGGTTATTTCCTGATGTTTTAATAGTTATTAAATAGAAACTATCTAGAACTCTAGGGGAGATAAATAAAATGAAAATATTTTAAGCAAGAACCAGAACAAGCCAGAGAAGCCCAAACAATAGTCCAAAAATCATTTGAAGAGCAACAATGAATAAATTATCGTATATATCTTAGTCTGTTTACCATTGCTGAGAAGGTCTTTTTCCTTAGCAGTTTTTGCATCATTTTTTTGGGTGGGGCACTGAGGAGACCCTGTAAAGAGTAATAGATATGGGTGGGAACATACAGGGAAAGGTATCTTTTCAGGTAGCCTAAGCCTTAAGGTGTTTAAAATGTTAAAGGTTGAGGTGCTTGGCCAGGAGCCAATCAAATGGATAGTGCTTATAAAATACTACTTTTTTAGTTTTCAAACCTATTCAGAAACAATTGCAGTTTTTGAACAATTTGTAAAAGCTATTCTGCATATAATAATACAGTGCCATATTCGTAACAGAAAGTTATTTGAACATGGGTATGTTTGAACAGATTGTAATCATGGTGACTTACACTCTAGTCACCTCAAGAATGGGATATTGCAGTACACACAACTTGGGGCTACCCTTGAAAAACCACTTGGAAGCTATAGCTGGTCTAGATTGCATCAGCACAGGCAGTAATGGATATGACATGGTATGCCTGTGTGACACCACTTCCTCTGAAAGCTGCAGTGGTTACCAGTTGGCTTCTGGTACAATTCAAGGTCTGGCTACTACCTATAAAGCCCTTCATGGCGTATGGCCTGGTTATTTGAGTGCTCCTATTTCTAAGCCAGCAGAATGAATATTTTTCAAGTCCCTTCAATTGAATAATGCCATCTAGTAGGAACCCAGGGGCATATCTTCTATGCCATAGCCCCTGTTCTTTGGAACAGGATCCCCTCAGAGATGTGTATGGCTCCCACCCAGATGGCATTCCAAAAGACATTGAAAACCTGACTATTTTCCTAGGAGGTAGGGCGGTTGGTAAGGTTATATGCTGTTTTGTATGGCTTTCTGAACACATATAATTTGCTGTGTTATAATTCTGCCTTTTTGTAGTGTAAAGTGCCCAGAGACTTTGGAAGCTGGGCATTTTTTAAACATACGTAATAAAAAACAGAAATTTCTGCAGCTTCCTCAACAATGACTTGAGTGTCGCCTTGTAGCCTCCCATAGAAATAAAAATGTAGATTTAGAGAGTTTTCTCAGAAAGAGATTAATTTTAGGTCTAATAATTTAACCTTAAGATCTGATGTTTCTTGAACTGGTAAGAAATGACATTAAAGACTGAGGCAAAAAGTAGAAAAGAAAACTGGGTAGAGGTATTTTCTGTAAGCAAGAGATTATCCTGATTTGAAGTTATCCTTATCTATAACCCAAACCATTCATAAGTTAAATCTTTCTTTTGCTCCTTCTCTCTCTCCAAAATAATAATAAAAATCTTTCTGGAAGATTGGTCAAGAACAAATATACTATTATGTTTCTCTGGATTTAAGCTGGTGAAAAAAAATGAACAAATATAAAATGTTTCCTTCTCAGGGAAAGATCATATTTGTCGATTCGTAGGCTGTGGAAGAAATGACAGATTTAATTATGTGGTCATGCAATTGCAGGTGAGTTTTTTTACTTTTATCTCTATGTCAATTATTAATGAATCTCTATGTTTGTCTTCTTGCACATACAAAAAATATGTTTTTCTATTTAAGTGGGAAAACTGCAAATGAAATTCAAATATGTAATATGTCTGATTTTCTGTAAGATTATCCAGTTTAAATAAGTTTGGATTCTTCACTGATGGTCAGCTTTATTGCTGAAAATATCTATTTGTGAACAAATTATATATTGTTATGCATTTCCATTACATTTTTAATCTCATGAGTTTTATTAATGTATAAAAAGACTAAGCAAGTATTTTGGCTAATTGTGGAATTATATATATTCTTCAGAAGTCAAGAAGCTTTAACCCATTAGACTGAAATCTACAGGTTTGAATAGTTTAAAAAGAAGTACTTAGAAGAATCTGATTATTCTTTCATTTGCTTAGTTTGTTCTTAAAGTTACACAAATTTATTTCAGCCCTCTAGGATATAATGTTTTTTAAAAAAGAAAGAAAGTTGGAAATGACCTAAATAGCTTCATACTTCTTTTTCAGAAGAAATATTTTTTAAATCAAAAATAGAGAAAAGGTTGCCTTTGGTTTAATTTGATTACTAATTCTATATTGCTATATGCTAATCTTCCCAAGTCCTCCTGGGCTACCTTATTGTGGTGGAGGTTGTTCCTGGGAGGGATGAATGAAAAACACCAAGAAAGTATGCCAAGTGTATATATTCTCAGCAGGGTCACCCAGGGTGTGAAAATTCCAGATGCCCCGGAAAAGCAAGCAGGAGCAATATAGAGAGATGCTATAGATAAATGGTCACTGGAACAAACTGGTGACAATGGAAAAAACATCAACTCATACTTTTACAGTTTTATATTTTTTCTGGTTCAGTTCATCCTTTTCCTGAGTTGCCAAGAATTGTATTTTAGGATGGGTAGCCATACAATTTTTTTAAATAAATAAATACTGTGTAGGGGAAGGCAATGGTAAACCACTCCTGTATTTTTATTAAGGAAACCACATGGATTGAAAATATCAAATGATTGATGATATAGTACTAGTTAATGAGATCCTTGCAATTGTTGACTGGAATACCAAAGTTGGAAATATTAAGAAGAAGAAGAAGAATGTAGTTGTTATAAACAAATCAATCCAAAGTCCTCACTTGGAGAGGTTCTGTTGAAGGAGGCACTATTGGAAGACCTAAAAGAGTAGATTAGGAACAAATCGCCATGGAAAAAATTCTATCTATATGGTCCTTAAGATTTGATGGCATATAATCAAATTACATCCTAACCTCTTCACTTAATTTCTCCATTTTTCTAACACCAGGGATAGAGATTCTTTTTGGACTTTGGAATTTTGGGAATATGCCATGGCTGTTTTCATAAGATGGCTATCATGGGTGGTCCTTAAAAAGCAATGCCTGCCATGGTAGATGTAGGTAGTCACAAGATACATATTTATTTATAATTAAACTAGTGAAGTACAATTCCTTTAGATTGTATTACCATTCCTGTTTGTTCTTGCCTCTTTTTTTTAGCAATTTTCCTCTTGCAGGGATTAAGCCAAACCGAAATACCAAATTACAGCCACTTTTATTAGTCTATATGTCCAAAGGAATTTTGATTTATAGTGATGTTGTTTTGTTATTATTATTACTATAAGTTGTAGCTGAGGAGGGGAACCACAGATTCCTTTAGCCCAGTGGTTCTCAACCTTTCTAATGCCGCGACCCCATAATACAGCTCTCCATGTTGTGGTGACCCCCAACCACTTATACATCACCGGGTGCCAGAGGCGTGGCCAAAGAAAAGGGGGGAAAAATGGCGGACAGCCTTGTTTGGCGACCCCCGTGAAATGGTCGTTCGACCCCAAATGTGGTCCCGACCCACAGGTTGAGAACCACTGCTTTAGCCAGTGCTTATGGTCTAACGTGTATTTTTTAAAATTAGTAATAAAATTCACTGGGAATATCTTCTTTTTGATGCTACATCCTAAAAAAAATTAGCTGTAGCAGCTGATTATTAAATAAAATAAAATAGAACCTATGAAACATTCAATTAAAATGAGCTTCTGTAACTTATTTTATTTGTTCATGGGTAGAGAAGAGATAAGGTTGTTCACTGACACCAAAAAAGGAACCATTTTGTACTTAGTAAATTTCCCTGGAAAAGGCATCTATGCTTGATTGCAAAAGTTTAGGCACTCCTGGGCAAGTGTAAGTGAATAGCAGTTGACTTAAGTTATTCATGGTGCAGTTAAAGACAACCTCTTTCTCTAAATTTGAATGCATACTTACAGTCAGTGAAGAAATTAAGGCTGAAAAGATGTTGAAGATTTTAGCAAGACAAACATCTGAAACACACGTTCAGCTTAACAGAAGCACTTACCAGGGAAGAAAGTAAATGATAGAATGACTTTTATTATTCCCAGACTGGAATATTATTAAAAATCTGTGGAGAGATCTCAAACGTGGTGAATACAAGATGTTCTAAGAACATTTCTGAGCTAGAAGAGTTCTTATAAGGTGAAAAAAAAATCCAAAACCAAGAATATAGAGGAAACATTTGGAAGCTGCTATTTCTGCCAAAGATGGTGTTATAAAGCACTGACTTGAATGGATATTCAAACCTTTCATATTTTTGTTATCTTATTTTGAATCTGCAAATCTCAGGTTTCTTTTTAGTCATTAGTTGTTTAAGAGAAAGACATTGCAGGCAGAACTGAAAGAGGACTTTGCAAGCTTCAGAAAGACTTTAAAATAGTACAGTGTTTCCCAAACTTGACAATTTTAAGGCATGAGGACTTCAACTCTCAGAATTCCACAGCCAGCAACGCTGGCTGTGGAATTCTGGGAGTTGAAGTCCACATGCCTTAAAATTGTCAAATTTGGGAAACACTGAAATAGTATAACAATGAAGAACAAGCAAAATATATACTTTTTTTCTAAAATCATTTGATATTTTAAGTATTGAAAACGCTATCCTTACATTTGCATTTAGTTTATCTGTTAAATGTTAATTTACCAAAAGAAGATGAGAAAAAAAAATCTGGATGTTATTGTTTTCATTTCTTTCAGGGGCGGAATTTGGCCGATTTGCGTCGAAGCCAAACTCGAGGGACTTTCACAATTAGTACAACATTACGTCTTGGGAAGCAAATTCTGGAGTCTATCGAGAGCATTCATTTGGTGGGATTTTTACACAGAGATATTAAACCAGTGAGTTTCTCCATATATCAAAACCAAGAATTTGCTTAAAGTTGTAATTGTTAACATAACACAGCAGCTTATTAATCTAGATACATTTAATCTAAAATCATAAAGATATCTGCGTCTATTTTAAAAACTAATATTTGTTTATCAGCTTATCAATTTTATCAATTTTCAGTTAACATCTCAAAATCTGTAATTATTTTGTCTAATAACTGCTATGAGCTTAAAACATATTTTTAATATAAAAAAAGTAAAGATGATTGTCTTATCTACTGAGAATATATTAACATTTTACTTAAGTGAAGTCAGCAAATTCTACAGAAGATGTCTCCCTCCCGCTTGACTTAGGAATAGGGCTATTATTTTTTTTAGGCTTTTTTTGTCCTTTCTCTTACTAAACACATAATAAAATGATAAACAAGCTCATGAACAGCAACTCTTGATTGGCTGGGTCTTCATATAGGTATAAACTTGTTCTCTCCCCCAGAGGTGCCAACTAACACTGCAGCTGTGATGTCACTGGCCATAAGCCCTGCAACTACAGGAGGGTCTGTTGCCACTCCTCCAGGGAGCCAGATCACCCTTGTACAAAAGATGATTGAAGCTTACAGTGATTTCTTCCATTTCCTGAGGGATACCAGTTTGATACCAATTCAAGACCCTCCCATTTGCCCTGTGGTTAGCTTCTATGATATTCATGTACAACATGATATTTGTAGCCTATCTCAAATCCTGGGGTATACAGATATTCTCTTATTTAAATGATTTGTTCATCTAATCCCTATAGATTGAACAGGGAAGAAAGGACATTTAGATCACAGTGCAAATCCTTGAGGACCTGGCATTTTCAATCAATGAAAATAAGAACATCTTTCAAATAGTACCATCTCTGTGCCATTCTGGACACAGAAAGAGACCTTATTTAGCAAAAACAGATAATTCCATAGGCCTCATGACTCTTGGCAGCCTTCAGGCCAGATGATCAGTACCGTGGCCAGATTCCATTCCTCTCTATTGGTGTCCTAACTCTAATCCTTTCCTGAATTGCATATCTCTAAGATCTCTGAAATGCCTAGTTCTGAAGGTGGAGAATTTTGTTGTGGCTGTCTCTATTCGGGAGGAGGGACATAGGTCTCTCCGTACAGGTCCAGTTGAACATAATCATCAGTGTCAGGGAATAGGGTGCACACTCTATTGACCTTATATGGAAAAAAGCCCAAGACAACACACACTTTTTGGGGCTGTATACAATATGTGATCTGTGAGCAAGGGCCAGACCTTCCTGAAATAACATTTCATCGTCATCTGGCTAAACCAATTTGTGCCTAGACACAATTTTCATGACTAAGATCATAAATTGTTATTTTACTAGGCAGGGGGTTATCCTCTCTTTTGTCCCAGTCCTAAGACCCTATTGTAGAAAGTTTGGCACGAGGCGCATGCCAACTGAGCCAACCCCTGCTCTGCGAGACCAAGTAGCTTTGAGTGTATAGAGTTGCAGCTTCTGGGACCTTAACATCTTTAGTTCTGGATGGGGTTGTACTGGATGTGGGTTCTCCTGAACTGTTTGATGAGCAGATGGCAGTTGTGGCTAGAAGAGGCTTTGTGAAACTTTGTGTTGTGTGCCAGCTATGCCCTTTCATCGATCAATCACTCAAGTTCTGGTCATCTCACGGTTGGACTATTGCAATGTGCTGATGGATAAGATGGCCAAGAGTCAGGACATGAACTTTCATCATCAAGAATTGTCTAAGGACAGATGACACTTTCCCAAATTGTCTTCTAAGTTATAGTTATATCCTTGACAAGACTGATGCTGGTCAAAATCCAATATATTTAAGTTATAAAATAGGAAACTAAAAAAGGAGCTCTGCATGTAAGCAGGAACTATATGCATGTAGAGCAGTGTTTCTCAACCTTGACAATTTTAAGACATGTGGACTTCGTCTCCCAGAAGTCCACAGCCAGCAATGCTGGGAGTTGAAGTCCACATGCCTTAAAATTGTCAAGGTCGAGAAACACTGATGTAGAGCCTTTCCATTGTACAGAGTGCCAGTTTGTTTACTGCTGTTTTGCCTGCTGCTTCTCTTGTTTTCTTTTCTTCATTGAAAATCTTTCTGAAAAATCTACAAGACAACTTTTCGTAATTCTGCTTACTAATTTAGATAACTTATCTGCTTACATTGGAGCAGTTGGAGAAATCAGGTTGATGTGTATCTCTAATTAGCTGTGATGAAATTAAGAAATTTACGAGAAATTTGATTCAGTTTATATTAAAACTCTTGTTCCTGCACTCTTTAACTGGGTAAAATGATGCATCATAGGGCGACTTTTTAAATCAAGGTACCTCAAATGGGCTAACTTAAAGAATGTGCCCAAAATCCAGGACCCAAGACTCCTGTGGAATTGAAATTTTATAAAATTTTATAAAACATGTTATGACATAAAAATGATCATAAAACAGTGTGTGACATAATACAAAATGTGGTAAAACATTTTCCGTGCTGATTGTTGGCTGTGCTGTTCAGCATGAGCTATTGTCAAGGCAGATACATCTCTGAATGTATTCCAACTTTACCAGTGAAAGCAGAACATTACACATTCTGTAAATGTTGAAGGCATTGAGGAATCTGCTAAGAAAATATCTCTCGAAGGATGACCCAACAGGTTATGGGTTGTCAAATAAATCTATGAAATTATTGTACTTTGTATCATTTCCTTCTGTATGGATTGTGACTATTGGGAACAAAGATTCTGAGAGGAGAGAGAAACAGTTCTCTGTGATCTCCCCCAAGATATAGGATAACATATCTCTCTTTTATTTTATTTCTTCTACTGAATTATTTCTGGCTTGTCATTCTGAAACTGGAAAAATGCATATCTCCTCCCACAGGAAGCAACTTTAGAATTAAGAATCCTTTCTAGCCTTTGTCTTTGGATCCCATGGAGATAGATAAATGCTGTAACCCTATCAATAGATCATTCCCACTTTTCCTCAAGCTGGGAGGAAATTCTAGATCCAATATTTACAATTAATTTTCTCTGTATAATAGACTAATCATTCTTTCTAATTAGTGAGCCCTGCTGAATACCTTCCTTCTAAATAACAATAGAATTATGGTATCCGAACAATTGCATTTTTAAAAATACATTTTATTTTTAGCTAAGTGTATGTATCATATTAACACAGAAGCAACAATAATAATCTGTGATTTCAATATCCAATCAATTCAACTATTTTTCTAAATAAGTACAACTGAAATATATGAAATGAAAGCTGATGTTATTGTTTCATTGCTACATTATAAACTTTTTTCTTTTTCTTTTTAGTCTAATTTTGCTATGGGACGCTTTCCTAGTACTTGGAGGAAGTGTTATATGCTGGATTTTGGCTTGGCACGTCAGTTTACAAATTCATGTGGGGATGTCAGACCAGTAAGGAATTTTAATCAGAGTTTCAAAATAAATAATACCTAATTCAGTGTGATAATGTGACTAACAGTATGAATTATTGAATGAATCCATTTTTCAGGATGGTTTTGAAAAATCAGGTTTATGGTATATGATTTTGGCAATACTGTAAAGAAAAAAAATGCAATCATATTCTAGTTTTATCCTGAGGTATTGTCATAGTGTGGAATCTTAAGTGATGCTTAAGAAAACAGTTAAAACCTAGCTTCTGAATACTTTGTTTAGGAGGAGAAACAGATTTCACCTGATAAATACTAAAAATACATGTATTTTTATTACATAGAGTTTTAAAACAAAACTGGTACCGATCTTACAAGGTTCTGGCATTCATTTCAATTTGTGGGGTTCTTTGGAGCATGAGGTTAGCCACCTATGACCTGACTATCTGCTCTACCTACCTCTGATTTTCATCAGCTACAAACTGTATTGTGAATGCAGTTTTCCATCTTCTTTAGTTAATTTCCATGCAGTCTTTATCAGAATCTTAGACAAACATTAACTCAAAAGTTGCAAAATATCTGAGAATTTCTCTGAGAAGAAATATTAAAGTTTATTTTCGTTTGACAGGCAAACTTTTAGGTAGAAGATGAAAGGGGGGGGGGAAATAATAGAAACAGTTACTGAATTGACTGATTCAGATGATTAGAAATGGCCATCAATTTAATTGAGATTAACAATTACTGATGCTGTGATCTAAAATAAATATAATGGACATTAAAAGGGGCTTTTTTAAAATATACTGGACAAGGCTTCATTTCTGGCAAGCTTAGGGCTATGGTTCCCAAAATTTCTGCTTCAGGAATCCTTTGTTTTCAGCCTTTTCCAAGGATTTCAAAATAAAACTGGTCACGTTTCATTAAATTTGTTCATTTGGATAAATAAAGGGTTCTTTAGTTGACTATGTTTCAAAATTGATGTAGATAAGTATTTCTCAAACATTTTGGCTTCAGAACATCTTTTGCATTTCCCCCCAAGAGCTTTAGTTTATGTGGTTTGTATCTATTGATTTTTACTGTATTAGAAATTAAAACTGAGAAATTTAAAAATACTTATTTGTTTGACTTCATGGACCCCCAAGGTCACCTCAGTTGCCATCTTTAAAGACATCTATCATTTGGACCTGGATAACTGGGGCATTGCCTTCTCTCAATAAGATCTGTTAGGAGGGGCTTGCTATAAGTGCCCTTGATTAGAGACTGCCATCTTAGGAAACATAAGAATGCATCTGTAAGTTGCCACCCCCCAATGTCTGAGCAGCACCTTCCCTACTGGTGATTAGAAAGCTGCTAAAATTTGTTTGTTCTTTAAAGATAAGAAGACTGCACTGTTTTAATTGCCTCTTGGTCCGGTTCCATAAAAATATTTGTAACTGTTGCTTTTTAAGATTTAATATAAATATTAATCCCAGCTACGAAATGAAATGTTGATGCCACTCAGAGTTGCTAAATTAGATTATATAATATTACTATTTTGCTAATATATGATGCTATCAACCAATAATTGAAGTTTTAAAGAAATGTTAATAGTAATGTTCCTAAAGTCTAATATTCTTAAATATTTCTAAAAAAAATTATTACCATTGCTTGCATCAGTTCTGGCTACCTTCATTAAGATTTTGTGGGTGGAAGTGTCAAACAGCTTGAGAAAACATTGCCAGCATATTGTGGATTCTGTGATGCAATAGATGTTCAGTTGGAAGCCCAGTTTGCATCTTAAGATGTTAAATGTTTCTGAGTATCAAATTTTGTCTGCCAAATCTTTAAGCAATTATAGCAAGCTTTTGATTAGAATGAACCAATATAGACATAATTTTGTAATACTGTGCTTCCATTTTATTTATCTTTGTAGCTGTAGAAATTTTGATGTGTATTATGTGTACTTTTCAAAAATAAAGAGACTATTCTGTTCAGTGTAACCCTGATTAAAAGTGTGGTTGGTGACTGTGGCTGGCAAAACTGCCAGTGCAAAACATTTATCTTCAGAACTGATAAATACTGTATACCAACCCTGGTAACTGTAAGATATATGGATTTCAATCCCCAGTATTCCCAACACTGGGAGTTGGAGTCCATATATCTAAACATTGCCAAGATTGAGAAACACTATTGTATACCATTATGTAGGCCTAAACCTGACCTCTTATGCATGTCCAATTGGAGTCATTTTAGGTGTCTATTTTGGCATTCTATCTCTCAGAATTCATTAGTAAACATAGAAGTCCCCTGGTACTAGCATGGAGGGAGAGGCCACTGGAAGCTATTCTGTCGAGAGTTTTTGTCATCTCTGTATCAGATCTGGTAACAAATTTCATTCATAAAATACCCTAATACTGGATTTTGCTGTGTAAAAAAAGGAAAGTGGCAAAAGAGTAGAATAAAATCTGATTAAATAAAATTGTTTTAAGTTACTTAAACTATGATCAAGTTACATATGTCTGTCTTTTTAAATCCAACTTACAGTAGTGGCCAAAATTCTGGAAACCTTTTGGGAAAAGTGTACAGTAGAAATGCCACTTTTGGTTAAGTTTCCACCAATTTTTCTTCTAATTTCTTTATAACTGTAGCCTTGTTCTCTTAATAATACTATTTTACATTGCTTTCTGGGCAACCAGTCAACTCTTTGCACCATTACTTTAATTTTATTATGTTTTACAAGCTCACTAAATAAAAGGAAAAAAAAACCCAACCAACTTGATAGCGACCACATAACACACTGACAAATGTCCTCCTCTCAGCTTTAATACATGACATCAATAACTGAATCCTACTGTGATCTGATTGGCTCATTGCCAAAACAAGATGATACCTGATTGGCTCTCTAAATACTCATGCTTATTGGCTACAATCAGATGAAGGAAAGTTACCTGATATCAACCTTAGCAAGTTGTGCTTCCTTTTTCTGGTTATTTGGTTATAACTTTTCATAGAATACAGTACAGATAATTGAACAAACTATGTTGCATTACATTCTTGAATAAATTATCTTTCCATTGATATATAATTTTATGGTACTACTCCCAAAAAATAGTGGTGTTATTAGTCATCAAACCTCAAAAATACACTTTTCCCAAAAGGTTTCCACAATTTTGGCCACTACTATATATTATAGATAGTCCTTTACTGATTGCTTAGCAACTGCTCAAAGTTACGATCAATTTGAAAAAAGGGACTTACAGCCCCAAGTTAAAGTTCTGATGGTCAGCCCCCCCCTACAGTCACATGACTGAACTTTGGGCTCTCAGCAACATGGTTGTATTTGCAGTGTCCTATGATCACCTGACTGTGTTTTACAATAGTTTTGCTTAAAAACAGCATTTCCAATTTTTGGCATAACCAGGCCCATATTGAACCATTACTTCTCTTAATGATCATGGCATTTTCTTAACAACCACAGCATTCGCTTAACGACCGCCATTAGTGCTTTATGAATGCCACAGCTGTTTTACAAATGCCATGTTCACCTAACAAATGCTGCAAAAAAAGGTCATAACATTTATAATCATTACAACATACAACTGTAATGGGCAAACTCCATTATGGTCATATGTCAAGGATTACCTTGCAGCAGAATCATTATAGTATATTAAAGGAGTGCATTATCAGCAGAAGAAAAACTCCAAAGTAGATAATCAAAATTGTTTGTAGCATCTTTTTTTCTATAAATAGTCGATATTTACTGATTTAATCTGAAATATGGACTTTTTTTTCTCTCCCTTCTTACATTGATAGCCCCGAGCTGTTGCCGGTTTTAGAGGTACAGTGCGGTATGCATCAGTCAATGCTCACCGAAATAGAGTGAGTATGACCATTAACATTAGCCTGAATATTTAATAACTGAAAATTATGCTTGGTGTCTACCACAATTCCACCCTTCTCTATATTTTTAAGGCTGCTGTATAAAAGTTGAAACATAACTGACATGCCCTGAACTTGTCCTACTATTGCCATATTTTATGCTGAAATCCATAGTTCATTAACAGAAGTTTAGATGAATCATTGCTGGTTAAGGGTGCATAAATTGAATATATTTTCAGCATTTGGAATCTATCAACTTATAAAGACCTGTGAGATTTTATGTACATGAAGAGTTGTGAAAAGAATTATTATAAAACATTGAAAAAACACATTTTGCCCCTACACAGCTCTGGATTGCTAGTATGTCTAAACTACCAAAAATATTTGTGTTCTTATTTATTAATTTGCTTATTTTTGTTGTGGGGAAAGGATGAAGAATTTGAGAAATATTTTTTGCCACTGTTTTATTCATGAGATTAATTTTAAGGTCTTTTCCCCTCCTTTTTGTCAATCCTGTTTTATGTATGTATTTTTAAAAATTTGTTTGATGCATTGTGTATATATAAACATATAAATTAAAAATAAAAATAAATCTAAAAAAGTAAAAAAAGAGATTGATCAGGAAACTCTAGACTCAGGATCACTATGAAAAATATACTGGAAATCCAGTAGAAACATTCCACCACTTTCAGTGCCTGTTGCAGCCATTTCCTCATGAAAAGAGTCTGAAATCTGATGATGTTCTACCTACTAAAGCTGGGATGAACATTCAGAGATGAACAACATGGAACAAATGTATAGGAGATTCGTTAGGACAGCTTCCTAGCACTATCTGCTTTGCTATCTGGTTTGTTTCAACCACCATACTATTAGGGAATATTGGCAGCTGTTCTTCTTGATAATAGCATTACCCTGCATATCCCTGAAACAAAAGGAGCATGTGGTTTTCCTCATATTTTCAATGGAAGATTGAAATTGGATTCCTATGAAACTTGAGGCATGTCCTCTGGAACCTGATAGATAATTTTAGTAAATTATCTTGAAATCTACAAGATCTCTTCTATTACCTCCATTGTCTTGGTACTATCTGGATCTGAACAGATAGGATTAACATTTCAATCTGTCAGTGAGTGATTCTGGTCCAGCGTCATTTCAATTAGATCAGACTTTTCTTTCATCTCATGATCCATCACTTTGTACTGATAGAAGTTAACACGGATTATATGAAATAAGTTGTTATGCTTAGTGGTTGCTCTAGGGCTGTAAATTCAACAAAACCCAACCAATGGACACAACCATTATACCTACCTCATTCTTAAATGATATATGTAATCACTTAACTGTTTTAGCTTCCACTCCTCAGATGGCTGTTCATGTGTGCTTGGTGCTTCCAGAATTCTGCATCAATCTCTTAGGAAATTAGAGAAAGGTGGGAATCATACTCACAAGCTTAGTGCAGCATCAAACAAATCTTGAAGATAGTTACAACTTCTGTACTAGAATGCACAAATCTGAATGTTTGGATGGCTGTTCAAAGAATTACTAAAATAACTAGCTCGTTTTTCTTTCAGGCCTGATGAATCCCTCTTTGCATAGCTTGTGTACCTTTATTGCAATAGCATTAAGATTTCCTTTATGTGTCTCATTACTCACATATTTAAATAAGCAATATTCTTAGCGATACAATTGGTATTCTAACACTGGATTATATTGGGTGGGTGTGCAAAATAAAGAAGATCAACATGCAGTCTTCTTTATTTCTATAGGAGATGGGACGTCATGATGATCTTTGGTCTTTGTTTTACATGTTGGTGGAGTTCGTGGTTGGACAACTGCCCTGGAGGAAAATTAAAGACAAGGTTTGTTTAGAAATGTAGCAGTTGAGATATCTTGAGGTTTAACTGTGAGTCTTAATTTAAGATACATGATAAGGTATTTGATATTTAATCGCAAACATAGATTATTTTCATTGGAACTTCATGTAGTGGATAAATTCATCCTTCTGACTACACCTAAGATCCTATCCTATCCCCATTAAAAAACATTAATGTTGACAGCAGTATGGGTGATAGTGGTGGAATTACCAGATTTTAGCTAGGAAGATAAGAATTAAATACTGATTTTTGACAATTGTATTAGGATTAGGAAAAATTGGCTTGAAAATGCTATGTTGCCCAATTCTGTATTCAAACATAAACAGTGATACGTAGCAATGTTATTTTGTACAGCATTTTTTAAAAATTACAGTATATCGGGTACAAGGCTCTATTTACATATGTTAAATAATCAAACCTAACTGCAAGGTAGGTTTCATTTTAGTTCATTGAGTTCATTACATTTCAGTTTTTGCAGTGTTGGAGAATTGTAAACTAGATCTGAACCTGTAAATTTGGAAGTGTTCAATTTTTTTTTTCATACTTTTTCCCCCATAAGAGTATTTCTTTACCTGATTTACAGGTAGTCCTCAAGTTGCAAATGTAATGGAGCCTGCCGATTATGATCAAAAGTTGGGATGAACATTAAATGAACCATCTCACTTACCAACCCCCCCCATCCCTGCTGTCCCCAGTGCAATCGTTAAACAAGCACATGAGTCATTAAATGAAATATGGACTGTCTCGGGGGGGGGGAGAAGATCTTGGGAGGCCTAGTGCAGGCACAAACCCACCTGCCTAAGACCTACTCCCCCCTGAGAAATCCAGTGCTTCGCTTCCCAGCTCTTGGGGTCCCACAGTTACTTGAGCGTCCTCCCTTTCCCATCACTTACCTTTTGAAGATCTCCAGAGCTCAAGAGGTCAGGGTAAGAAAGGAGAACAGGCTGCTCTCTTGCTGGGCCAAATGGCACAATCTCACAAGTGGCCATCTTTTTCTCAGCATAGCCACAAGCTACTTCAATCCATAAAACAGATCGATTTACTGGCTTGGAAAATGACAGCTGCTTGTGGGATCTAAGCATCTAAGAGACCAAAGTTAAGCTCTCTATAAGTGATGAGGTCTGTTTTGCTCGGCCGGCATTAGCAAGCTCTTAGGGATCCAAGCCTTAATTCACTGACAAAGATAGCTGGCTCCCCTCTCTCGCTCTGTGCAATGGTAGAAAGCACATCGTGGGGAAGGGAAATGGCGAATTAAGTCTTGGCCCCAAAGAGCTTCTTAATGCCAGGGGGGCAAAATGGACCTCTCTGCTTACAGAGAGATTAGCTTCTCTTTGCAAAGCAAAGGTCTCTGTTGCTTGGATCCAACAAGCAGCTGTCATTTTCCAAGCCAGCACTTCCAGTTATACTGCACAGCCACAAACTGCTTTGTTGCTGGGTCGCACTGGTCACTGGGTCGAAGATGTTTGTGACTGTGCTCAGAAAAAATGATCACTTGTGGGAGTGTGCCATGTAGCCCAGAAATGGAGCAGTTTGTCCTCCTTCTCTATTCTGACCTCCCGAACTCTGGAGATCATTGGAAGGCAAGTGAGTGATTGGTGACTGAGGTGGGGAGGAGCATGTGGAACCTGAAAGGGTAGCAAAGCAAGCCCAGTGCCTGCGGGGCCCTGGCATGGCAGATTTAGGGGGGAAATGGGGGTCGCTGCAGCATCCCTGCGTCCAGTTGTAAAGCTGAATGACCATGGAGATGATGTAGCTGTCTTAATTTTGAAACTGGGTTGTATGTACCTTTTGATGAGTCTGTTGTAACTTCAAACAAGTTGTGAATTGAGGACTACCTATATATGCTTGGAAGGCCATATAAAAATAGAATATTGTGTATTGTAATAGTAGCAGTATTTGCTATTCATATCTAAACATAATCCAAGGGAGGCAATACATACAAAATTATTGTTATGACCTTGAATTAAATTATCCCGAGACAGGAAACATAAAAACTCTAGCATATACCATAAAACAGATTTTAATCAACCTCACAATCTGGAGGATAAAAACTGAAAAAAATGGAATTAATATAAGTTAGGAATGACAGAGTCCTGCCCTCTTTGTGTTAGTTTCCCTCTTCCCAAGTGTTAAGTGCAATCATCAAAAGTTTGAACATTCCAGACTTTAATATAGAAATAAAAAAGACAAAACCTATTACCACACATATAAGTTCAAGTAATATAATGTTAATTCTAATGTATTTAAAATTGTAAGTCAGATAGAAGGTATGGTAACTATTTAACTTGTTTGCTTCTAGGAGCAAGTAGGCTCTATAAAAGAGAGGTATGATCACCGGCTGATGCTGAAACATCTCCCTCAAGAATTTAACATCTTTTTAGATCACATTTCTTCTTTAGACTATTTTACTAAACCTGACTACCAGGTATTTATTTCTGCAAATGACTTGCAAATGTTCTTTCTTTATTATTATTTCAGTTATACTGACGATGTAAGCCTTCATTACTTACTTTGAGGATTTTATATGTTCCAGTCTACATTTTAGAACCATATTAAATTCATGGTATATTAAATGTGTTTGCCATTCCTGGGTGATTGTATTTGAATATTGGCCTTCAATTTTTATAATTCTATTTAACTGGCTTTCAATTTTTATATTTCTATTTATTTTTTTTACTTTTTGTAATTGCTTTGAAAGTTTTTCCACCTAACTCAGAGTATAAATCTATACTCAATAATCCAGACACAAAGTATATTATCATAAGTAAATTTGAATTATAACTAACAGAGTGAGTAGTACTATTTAACTGGCAACTATTTAACTTGTCTGCTTCTAGGAGCAAGTAACTTCTATAAAAGAGAAGACACTGAGTTGTTGTGTTACATGCCATTACAATAGCAATACCATGGTGAACTTGGTTGCCTGTTGAAGCAGGTATAAGATAGCACTGAGGATGAGAAAGTGTGAAAATAAGTAGCAGCACAAAAGAATTTTCTTATAAATTTGGTTTAGTTTTTTTCTCTTGAAAGAAAAACTATTTTAAGTCCCTGGTATATTCCTGATACTTAATAGGATATTTATATCTCCTATTCTTATTTTATTACCTGGACATGCAGGTAGAATTCTTTTAGGTAGAATTCTTTTAAGCAACATCAAGAAATTTATAGGCTGTGTTGTTTAGGAGATGAATAATCATAGTATTTAATTTTACCTAATAATAAATGTATTATGAAGATCTTGTATATCAGAACAGAGTTTTCAAAAAGTTGTTTGAAGAAACAATTGACATGAAATATAATTAATTATTTTCTTTGTTTTTATAGCTTCTCATGTCCGTTTTTGATAACAGTATGAAGAATTTTGGGGTGACAGAGAGTGATCTGTTTGATTGGGAAAAGAGTGGGGCTGATGGTTCTCTTACCACTACCACCACTTCAACTACTCCTCAGCTACATACTCGACTGACCCCAGCTGCTATAGGGTATTTTGAATCTTTTTTTTGGGGGGGGGATGTTAGATGAATTAGCATTTCAAGTTATAAGTGCTTCTTCATGGAGAATAGAATAGAATAGAATAGAATAGAATAGAATAGAATAGAATAGAATAGAATAGAATAGAACAGAGCTGGAAGGGACCTTGGAGGTCTTCTAGTCCAGCCCTCTGCTCGAGCAGGAGAACCTATACCATTTCAGTCAAGTGATTGTCTAGTTTTTTCTTAAAAACCTCCAGTGATGGAGCGTCCATGATTTCTGGAGGCAAGCTGTTCCACTGGTTAATTGTTTTCACTATTAGGAAGTTTCTCCTTAATTCCAGGTTGCTTCTCTCTTTGATCAGTTTCCAACCATTGTTTCTTGTCCTGCCCTCTGGTGCTTTGGAGAATAATTTGACCCCCTCTTCTTTGTGGTAGCCCCTCAAATACTGGAATACTGCTATTATGTCACCCCTGTTTCTTCTTTTCTTTAGACTAGCCAGACTCAAGTCCTGTAGCCATTCTTCATATGAGGCCTTTCATCATTTTAGTTGCTCTTTTCTGAACTTTTTCCAAGGTCTCAACAGCTTTTTTGTAGTATTGGTATGGAAACAGATACTCCTTCATAATAAGATGCTGACAAATCTTAAATCCCTATTATAAAATATATCAATCTCAGATTAAGATCAAGAATCTGAGATTAAGTTCATGCATCTCAGGCTACTTGACGGATAAAGATTCAGTGTTCTGTGTCAGATATTTAGAATGGTGTCTTGCATTTATAATAACTTGCATTTGGTCACTTTGACCAATAAGATAATAGATAACTATGTCTTTTGGAAGAGAAGGGTCATCTTTAAATTGCTGTCCTCCAGAAGTGTCAGGAAATATTCATTCATAATATAGCCAGGTTGAAAACAGTTCAGGTGGCATGATGAAATTGGGAAGAAATTTAAAACAGTCAATTATTATTATGCAGCTCATTCTAATGGTTATTGCTTAGTGGGGGAAACCAGAAGCAAAAGTGATGGAATAGTATCTTCTCTTCTGGTCCTTATCCTAATGGGGTAGCATGCTGACTTCATTAGCATATGGAAACCTGGAAGTTAGGGAAGATTGTTTTAGCATTACTAGTCTAAGGCAGAGAGGAAGTAAGTGTCAAAAAGAACACTTACACGGAAAAGAAACTGGGACATCTTTAGTATTAATTTTAACTTTTTCATATATAGAATTGCCAATGCTACACCAATACCAGGAGATTTATTACGAGAGAATACAGATGAAGTATTTCCTGATGAACAACTCAGTGACGGTGAGAATGGTATCCCTATTGGAATCTCACCAGAAAAGTTACCAGAGTCTCCTGGACATCGTCTTCAGGAAAAGGATGTGTGGGAAGAAATGGATGCTAACAGGAATAAGATTAAATTGGGCATCCATAAAGTAAGTATTGCAGTCGAATAAATGATAGCATTTTCTTTTTTTCTTGTTAACATATACATATATATCTGTTTCCAATAGTGACTAATCAAATATCCATGAAAAATGGAGTATGATGAAGAAAACCACTTAATTTGTCCCTGATGTGATGTATGTGTGTGTGTGTGTGTGTGTGTGTGTGTGTGTGTGTGTGTGTGTGTGTGTGTATATATATATATATATATATATATATATATATATATATATATATATAGGTTTCATTTCTATTGGTTAATTGTGCTGCTGAAAATGTTTCAATGAATTTCTTAAGAGAATGATGAAATGGCTTTGTCTTCATGTAGTGCTAAGTAGTCTCAGTCCTTTCTCCACGTTGTTTATAGTGCTTATCAGAATATTTGGTTAAGAATTTTAATACCAGTGCATATTACACTAGAAGTACAGGTAGTGCTCGATTAACACTCAAGCAGATGCAACATGAGGCGAGAGTTGAAATACACACACATACATATCTGCACATTTATTTCCCAGAATTAAAAATAGGTGCCTATGTTTTTTTCTTCTGTCCAGTCATGTCCAATTTTCAAAGACTGCTTGGAAATGGCCCTGTAGTTTTCCTGGCAAGGTTTTTGAGGAGTGGTTAGCCGTTGTCTCTTTCCTAGGGCTGAGAGACTGACTGGCCCAAGGTGACCTAGCTCATTTAAAAATGAGAGAAAATGGGAATTACAATTACAATAAAATAAAGCAAGTTAGAGCAACAAATACTAGAATGTCTGAAGAAAAACAGGCACAGGAAGAAAATTTAAGAGTCTGAAGTTAGGGAGGCTACACGGGTTCATGAAAATTGGGTGAATAGATCTATTGTAGATCTAGGTAGTGAACTAGTGGTCAAACTTGATATAAAATAGCTGCTTATTTAAATAATATTTCTAAAATCTTTAGTTTTTCTATAATAGAAACTGATTTTCAAATAGAGGGATTATGTCAACTGTTTTTAAAATCACATTTAGAAAATGCTTTACATAAGAATTATCTTATATCCAAATATTTTAATAAGATTGGGATGTTATCCTAATGTTAATTTATTTTTTTATATTGTGACACTCCTTTATAGGCTACTACAGAAGAAGAAAACAGTCATGAACCAATCAATGGAATGTTTAATGCACCAAGCCTTGGTTCTCCAATTAGAGTCCGCTCAGAGACCACACAGCCAGATCGGGATGTTCCTCTGGTACGAAAGTTACGATCAATCCATAGTTTTGAACTGGAGAAGCGCCTGACTTTGGAGTCAAAACCAGATGCAGACAAATTTCTGGAAATCTGGTAGGTAATGGTTTGTTTTATGCAGATGTTACTTTGCAGTGGCTTGGTTTGGTTTTGTCTATAGGTGCGTGCGTATGTAATTCTTTACTGTTGTTTAATTAGAATATCTGCAGTAACTAGAAAATCATATGCATATATAGATTTACATACAGCTAACCTTCATAGCAGTTTCATTCTAGCCAAATGGTGGATAATGAAACTATAGATGATAATACATGAAAAAAAGTATTTTGTTTATATAAAAAGCCAGCCTGCCATTTTGCAATGGGTCACTGAACACTCAGATATAGAAGATATATAAACGGCCCCACAAAAAAAAGTGCCAGGCTTGAACTACCATGTTAGCAATGGACAATTCTGAGTAGGATTCGCACCTCACACCGTGTCTGCCAGGACTCTCTGTATCAATGGGGCACAGCACCCTACCCTCAGTGCAACTGCGGAGTCCCACATCAAACTGTAGATCACATTGTGACCGGCTGTAAGCTGAGGGCATATACTGGTCAAGTATCTGATGTTTTTAATATAAATGATGATGCGCTACATGCTTAAAATACACAGAAATGTCCTCCAAAACATGGATGCAAGAAACTATTTTCCAGGGTCAAGTAGTAGAGTACTGTATGTATTTTATTTTCATGAATAACTTGGACCACTTATTTTTTTCTAAAAAAATTTTTTGGGAAAATATGTCTGTTTAGAGGATGACGTGTAGATTCTGCTTTATATTCCTCAAATAATACAAATCCATTGATATATCATTTTTTTTTTCTTTTATCAGCATGGAGAAAAAGAAAAGAGAGCTTAATGGTGGCAGTGGCAAAGAACCTGTAATTCCAGCTTCTCAGAGAATACGGGCTCCCACAGCTTCTTCCGGTCAGGAACATGTCTGGCATTATGATGAAGAGTATCTGCCTAAAGCTTCCAAGCTGGTTTCAAGTCCTTCTCCAGAACAGGGTGATGGTGGTGTTAGCAATGGATACGTTGCTGTCAATTTGAATTCCTGCCAGCAGGAGGTAGACTCCAAGGAATGGGTGATTGTTGATAAAGAGCAGGACCTTCAGGATTTCAGAACTAATGGTGCTACAGGGCATAAAACAACTGGAAGTCCTTCTGATGAAGAACCTGAGGTACTCCAGGATTTTGAAGAGTCCCCCCAAGAGGATAAACTTGGACTTCAAACCAAGCCTACACCTGATGGAGCAGCATTTGATTTGGGCGCTGAATGTCATGGAATTGCAGCTTCTGAACAGTTTACAGATCAACTAGAACTCCCAATTGGAATTGCTGGTCATGCTTTTGCTGTCACACCTACAAGCCTATTGGAGGCACAAGCAGAAGGGGCTCTTACTCCAGTAAGTAAACTAACAGCTAGAGTCTGTTATAGTTCAGGCAAATTAAGAAATTGCTGACTGTGAAAACATGGCATTTAGATTACAATCAAAGCACTGTTTAGAGATGATAATCTGTTTTAGTTCTTTGAAAAGAGGGTGAAAGTGTTCTTAACATTTTTAGAAATATTTTCCAAATACTCTACTAAAAATGTGTTTTTGCAATTCCCAGAGCTCTTGCCACTGATTTAATTATTGTAAACATTAATAAATATCTTCAACAAAAATTTGAAACCAGAAAAGCATAATAACTATGATTTTTGAACAATTATTTTCACAGAGTATTTTCATAGAATATTTTTTAAAATATGAATTACACTTTTAGCTCAAAAGTAGGCAATGATTATTTCAGAAATAGAGAAAACTGATGGAGTGCACATATGAGCTTACTTAATTTTAAGTCTTTATTTTCAGATGCTAGTAACCGCTATTAAATATATTTTTTACTTTAATATATTCTTGAAAAGTTAATTCTTACATGTAAAAATATAAATTGGCTTTGCCTGATAGCTGAAACTGTTTTATGTACGTGCCAAAAAACAGTCACTATAAATAACTTCCATCTTCTGGGCCATGTTATTTGAGCATCTTAACATTTTGTTTCAGATTTCAGATTTTCCAAGAGAATGGTTCTGTCTTCTTTTTTGGGCCAATATCATGGCTATTGCTGTTTCTTTATTTTGTATGCAGTTTTTCTTTTACTCAAAATTCTTTTACTACTTTTGTTAAATACAACATATGTTTAAATAGAATATACAGTTACAGTACATTTATGGTGTATATGTATATCTATGGAGAGTCTCAATCATCCAGGTCATGGTTGTCCCACAGGTGCTTTTCTAAAAGGTAATTGGACTTTCTTGTTTGTTTGTTTTTTAAATTGTTTCACTTATAATTCATGGAGCTTCTTCAGTTCTAATTGACTGGTGGGGAATGGAAGGATTAATGATAACCATTTTCAAAGAAAAAAACAAGGAAGTCCAGGTGCCTTTTGGAAAAGCACCTTTGGGAGTACATAGTACACTTTTTTTCATTCAAAAAAAACAAAGAATAGTAATGACTGAAAATGGTGTTACTGCACTTAAGAGTTGTTATAAACATAGTTTGATTTGTGTCTAAACACTAAGGATAGAAATCACGTTTGTTTTTTATCCTCTGGCACATACGTTTCCTTCATAATGCTCTTAATACTTATTATTTATTACTAAATTGATAGCTGCCTCTTATCCTTAGCACAATAAATTGATTTGACCATAAATCAAAATCATAATCTAGTGCTGCAAAAATATACTGTTTAAATATCCTTCTCTTGCAAACAAGGATAATGTTCCAAATTCTTTATTTTCCTTTTGATAAATAACAGCTCTTTATGACATCTGAGTTCAAACTGAGATGAACTGAAACCTGGATAGGGAAGTGGGAGATAGTTCCTCTCTCAGGAATATGCTGATATAGATTTTAGGTCTGGCATTATCTGTGCCCCCAGAGCAGGGGAGAGGGGGCAGATTTTATTCTCTGTGAGATTCTATTGGCATTAAGAGGCACTACTTTATAGATAACCAGATGTGAGACCTCATTTATGCAGTTGGGCCCAAAGGGCTACTTGGCATTGACACTTTTATACTGCTTCCCATACTGAACAGTGACATCTCTGCCAGGGTACTATCCTTATTGTTGAGATGGTAAGAGTATCCTTGGTTAGTACTGTTGGAGAACTTTACCTTCCTTTCATTTGGTGAGAGGTCTGGAGTAGCCTAGGACTACATGGCCACCAATGACTTCCATGGTCTTGATTCAATATATCAAGAAACTAGCTGAAATAATTTTGTGTCTGTAAGTCCTAAGGAAATGTGTAGAGCCCTCTGTACTGTCAGTTCCATACTTTCTGGTTACATCTTTTAAGTGGTTAGATATCTTAACTATGGTTAGTTAAGGTTGCCCATGAAATAGCAGGAGGTGGGATTCAAGCAGTTAATAGTTCTTTGAATTAAGGGGTAGTTTTTTCACTCTGAAAGGTGTTATGGTGTACTTCATCCTTAAGACGTTTTTGCTTAAGTCAACTGTTAAATAAATTTAGGCTTCTTCAGCCTACCTTTTAAGAAAGGTTATATAGAAACAAATGGTCTTAAAAGTACAGAGAATCCTGAAAAAGCAAATTATTTGAACCCCTGCCAAACAGGTTTCAGTCCTGGTACAGCACAGAAACTGCATTCTGTGATGCTTTACTATAATTGCAATTATAAGGTTAGTGTTTTAAAAATATGTATTAATGTAGTCAAATTGAGTAAATTATGTACTAAGAACAGGTTCAATGGAGATGAACATGTCAAATAATTTAGCATACAGCTTTATATCAAAGATATTTTATATGTTCTACTTGATACAATAACAATATATATTTGCTTTTCTTACATAAGGTAAAAATAAGAGTACGTTTATTTGTACTACACCGTTATTCCTCTGCTGTTTTAGAAAGCCTTCCTCAAAGCAACCTGCAACTATGGCATGAAAAAATCTGTACACTAAAAAGTATAACTTGAAAGCCACATGAATGAATGAATGAACCTTTATTATCAAAGTACAACATGTATACAAACATTAAAATCATTTCATATTTAAAAACTTCTTGGTAGACTGAAGCTCAGAAAGAGAAAGACAACTCAATGAATTTTGCCTAGGAATGAATATGGAGATTTTACTACTGATGTCTACTTTTAACTCCAATAATATCTACAGTGAGAAAAATCAAATTTACTTACAAACTAAACATTTATTTAGTCCCCTGCCCCCATTATCATAAAGATAAAAGGAGGAAAAAGAAAACAGATTTGCAAGATTCTGCTACTATTACTATTCTAATAAAAGTAGATTTAAGTCTACATAGCACCTGTTTTTCAGTATGTTCTTCTTTATAAGTCTGATATTAACCTTACAAGGCAGAATGTGCTTCCTCTGTCTTCATATGAATTAGGGGGAGGGCTGTCTGGGCTCAAGCCTCATTCATTGATTATTGCCTTGGTAACAAATGCTCTCTCTGTCCTTTAAGGCCATCCTCTTTACTCACAACATTATGCTCTTAAGTTCCCATGCCATTTGGATTTCCTGACTATGATTCATTTTTCTATATATACATACTAAAATTTTTATCAACATAGTTTAGCAAACTACAAAATGTTTGGATTTTATAAATACAGCTTAATTGTGTTGTAGGAGACTATATCCAAGGATAAAGAGCCGGGCATATCATACTAATCACACCAGTGCAAGCCACTTTAGGAGAGCCCACTTCTGATTACTGCCTCAAGAAACGCTTCACCTCTTCATTTCTGGCATGATTTTCTGCGCTAGGCATCTTCTATCTTGAAATAGACTTTGAAACCAACATTTTTAATTCTTATGGCTAACCTAGATGTAACAGTAGAATGGACTGTAGTTCCTGTATGTGGTTGGTGAGAATCAGCCTTCTTCATTTGTTCAACTTTTGCCTTCTAGGGACACCTATGTCATATATGGATGACAAAATAGTGATCACACAACTTTCTTCAATTCAGAAGATAATGGTATGCACATAACATACATAATCTGGATTGATCTATTCCTTAGTGTGAATTTAAACAACCAAAATGGTCATATACTGTACATAGGATCCAGTATTCTCCTTTGTGGAGGATTTTACTGCTATGCTAGTTCAATTTTCTATACATCTCATCCTGTTCCAAATAGCCAAAAATTCTTGGATGAAGCCTTCCTCAGTGCTTATAACATCCATTAAGAGTCTTTATCAAATTTAAGAAGATGGTAGTTCTATTCTATTCTAACTGCCATATCCAAATCCTGATAGCTTTGTTAAGCTTGGCTTAGCTTCCCTTGTCTGATTTCTCAGAGACATAATGCATTGCCAATTTGACCAGATCTCTTTTCTCCCCCAAACTATGATGTCTCCCTTGGACGACTCCTCAGATTCTTCTTCAGAAATAAGCTCAAGGGAGAATGAGCCCATTCCTGGCATGTCAGGAACTCAGTTAATTAATGACTCTGAACAGTGGGCAGAAAGAGAATCAGAGGGGGCTTCAGCTGGAGAAAGCCTGCAGGGGCAGACCGCCGGTGAAGAGGAGGAGGAACTGCCTTCTGCACCTGATCCGAGATTGTGCAGGGCAGAGAAAAGGCAGGAGCAATGGAGGCCAGCCAGACTACTCAGGAGGAGAGGAGCCCGCCCGTTTTGATGGGCTGCATCGGGAAACTGGCTAATTATGACAGCAGGCAGAGGGAGGCGTTGCTGGGAATGATGTGTTGATTTGCTGGCTGTTTGTTTGTCGTGCTTCCTGCTTCACCGTGTTTGGAATTGTGCCTTGGAGACTCTGAACTTTTCTTGCTAAGTGAGCTTTCGTGTGTATATTTAATTTTTGCCCAGTGGATTTAAGTTTGTTGGGTGGAGCCATTTGTCTAAGCAACTTTCACTTATTTATGGACTATTAACCAATTCCTTTCTGAACTAATCTTGGCTTGCTTGTGGCTGGACTTATTGGGACAGTTCTGAGTATTGTAAAGGGAACTACTGGGGAACATTAATAAACTTACTAAATCACAGTTACATGCAAGTGAGTGAGTGGGGCAGCACATGAACTCATTATGTGGAGATTACATCTACAATCTTTAGTTGCAGTAGATCAGGTCTTTCCTGAATTGGAAGCCTTACATTCAGAAAGCTTATATGAAGAGGTGGGACAGATTCCTCAGTTTCGTAACCTCCAATGACATCATTTCAGGTTTCATACTGTGTTTTGGAATTTTTATTGTTATCATTTTTAAAATGAAGAAAGTTTATTTTTGTCTATAAAAGTTTATCTTGTTACAATCTTCATAATCTAAAGGAATTTCTGTTTTTTCTCATCTGGCTGTGAAGCAGTTTTATACAAGTTTGTATAAAAACAAACTTATAAAAGTTTCTTTTCTGTCCTCTGAGAATCAAAGCCCTTTAAGACCTTAGCTGCTTGACCTCTTCATTTACTCTCTCAGAAGACAGCATTAGTCATTGTGATCACATCACATTCAGTCTGACATTCCAGTGAGCTCCATGCTTTTATATTCAAGTGAATCTTACCTAATTTTCTATAAGGAGAAAGTGAATCTGTGTCTCCATTCCCCCCCCCCTGCTGAAAGCAATCTCTGATTTTCATTTATGCTAAGGAGAGATCTTCCCTGTATTTTTTTCAAATCCAGAAAATTCTTTAAAAATAATTATGTATAGGTGTGATATTCAGATAGCGTCATTTCTGACTTCAACATAAGAAGGATCCATGCTTATTTCTCTCTTGTAATAGGCCACAGCAAATGTTTTTTGCTGAATAAATCACATGAACAGTTATATTGGGTCAGACAAATCCAGATTTGCTATTCCCTGAAACTGATGGCTTCATCAGCAGTAGGATCTCTCTTTAACACTTTATTACAGCCGTCTGATCTTAGCTGGGATTGTTTGCTTGAGAGAATAATTTGGCAGGGCAGTTTTATTCTCAGTTTTTTTCTTATTGTTTACCAGCCTCCTTGTATAGGAGCTTGCTACTAAGCCATGTATGTAAATCATAGAGACCACTGGTTATTTATCTGTAACTGTCATTCTTAATATGGCCATCCATGAATCCAAATGCCAACCATCCATTTTTCCGACCTGGTTTCAAGGACAGCATTGTCAATATTAGCCTGTTGTAGCTTCTTTGAAATGGATGACAATGGCAGGAATCCTAATTTCACATGCTGAATCTAATGAAGGGAAATGGGCTTCCTACCAAAAGTCTAAAGTTCCAGAATGCTCTACATAACGTTACTGTGCATGTGCAGAATCCATATATGCAGATTCATAGATAATTACTTAAAGAACTGCAATTATAGGTAAGTAATCAGGTCCTTTGTTGTATTATTATGAAGTAGTTATTATGTGTTTTCGAACATCGCATCTACAGTAGAGCGTTATATCTGCAAGCTGATAAAAAACACTGCTTGAAAATGAAAATTGGTTCAGATCCAGATTTTATTTCCAGTAATAGTGTTCCCTGAAGAGATTTCCAGCACCACAAAGATTGTTATTTCCTGGAAATAATAGGAAATTATAGGAAATAGCAAATGTTGCTATCCTACCCAGGGAAGTTTTCTCCTTCTATAAATAGAATAAACTTTTCCAATTGTGGAAGCAAGATCTGGATCCAATTCAGTACATTTTGCTATTGTATGGTTATCTTGGTCAAGTAGGGTTTACAAGGCAATCTCATTTTTTAGTAATTCCTTTAACAAGTAGTATTATTTTATAACCACTTTTCTGAATGTTCGGTGTTATTGGTGGCATATGGGGAAATATTGGTAAATCATAGGAATAAAATAAGTAGTTTGTAGTTTCATTTTTAAAACTATTATGGTTTCTTACTGAAAATAATTACTGGAAGAAAATGATAAAACTAGATAAAGAATAATAAAATGGTCTTATTAAATATTTGAAACATTTTCTTTCTTTTCCTTGCCATATTCTCACAGCTCAGCTCATTTCATATCCCGCATTTCTCCATCCCACGAATTTCAAGTCCCACCATCTTCTATACCCTGAACCCTATATCCCACTTCATCACCCACATGGATCCTAAGAAAGTGACAAGCTTTCCAAGGAGTCAGTCAGCAGAGAACCACTCTTCCTCTTCCTGGTCACCTTCCTGTAGGCAACTTCCTGTTATTCCCTCTGGAAACAAGTTTCCCCCTGTCATTCACATCTCAAAAGCACAACTCCAGCAGGTGATTGCATCTTCATTTTCATCAAAGCAACTGCACTGTTGGCCATTTGAAATGCTTTACAGTTCCCAATTAATATGCAGGGCTGACATTTGGATTATTTGTCTTAGTAGGAAAACTGAAAGATGGGAGATACAGCTTTTTTGAGGAAGAGTCATTTTAAAGAACTAAACTAGTTTAAAATGGTAGCAAAATCTTCACAGGATAGATCAGAGTGAATCCACTAACTGATATTTTATGTAACAGATAAAATTATTATTCAGAAATTATGAATGACTTTTTTGTAATTTAAAGTTTGGGGAATAGTTTCAGTAAATAAGACTCAAAATTAAAGCTGATAAAATTAAAGCTGGTATATAAGTGATTGCTGCATGTACAAAAAAGAGAAAGAGAGGGTTTCATAGATTGAGAAAGCATGTGGTATTTCTTTTAACAAGTATAATGCTAAAATACATATTGTTCAAGGCATGAGTTTAATAATAGAAATCAGTAGTATTAAAGAAAACTGTCAAATGGAAAACTCCAATTAATCTTTAAGAACACAATACTCCAGCTTGCTTGCTTTTTAGTAATCTTATAATAGATATTATCCATGTTATTTTAATTTATAATAAAAATAGCTTTATAATAATAGTAGAGCAAATACTTACAATAATTATTAATCATTAAAGCTTAACCTTTAATTTGACTCCATCCCATCATAAACATTACCATATGTAAAATTTATTTCTGCATGTAACTTTTTCCTTTATACATAAAATACTATTTCTCTCAATGTAAATTTTTGTTGCTAATTGAATATTATTAAGCAATGATAAAAAGATTTTAAAAATATTCCAAAGATCAAATTTTCTATCAGTGAACTATATAAATCACATTTTCTAACTAGCAAGAAGTATCTCTTTAACTAGATTTTGTACATTTTTGGTCCTTGGTGTTTTACTTTTTTTATGGTGAAAATGAAATCATTATTAAAAACTTAGTCCTAATAATTTAGGAGTTAGCACTCTGATAGTGGGCATTAACTGCACAATCTTATATAATGGCCATAGTATTCAAAACAGAAGAAGAAATAATCTCTCAATTTTTCAGAATGATTATTTGCTTTTTAATTAAAGTAACTGTACTGTAACATGAAAACTAAAAATACATTTAATATTTGAAAAATTAAAGAATTGAAACAAGAAAAATATATTGGAAGTGCTTAATCTGTGTAGATATCAATTCTATATAAATAAAAAACTGATAGATATTTGTAGCTAATAAATGATGGCTATATTTCTTTGGTGCTACGATACTTTTTTCAATCAAACCAATTTCTAATTTATTCAAAGAAAAGAATAGCCTTTTGTATGTTTTGTTGTAGCTAAAGTCATCTGAAATGTTGCAAAATCACTAAATCTAATGAGAATTCTGAATGCAAGGATTTATTGGAATCCAATACAGGATTGCAACTGAATGAAATCATCAGATTTTCCAGATTATTTATTTATATTCATATTCATATATATCTATATGAATATGAATATGAATATAAATATAAATATGCTAGCAATCCAAATTTTAGAAATATATATATATATGTATGTATGTATGTATGTATGTATGTATGTATGTATGTTTATTTATTTCATGGCATTTTCTTCCTCTTGTTTCTTCTTATCCTGTTTAAATCAAGAGTATGGAGCATTTTTATTTTTATTTTTGAGGGCAACGTTCCTTTAGGAACCCCAAACTGCCAGTAAATGGAGCCAGAGCACAAATTAAATAGGGCCATTCCTTTTTTCCTCTTTCCTTTGTTCCTTGATTTCATTGTTGAGCAATCATCTAGGAAAACCTCTTGATTTTTGTAAAAAATTGTGAATATTTTTCTTTACACATTTTTTCATAGCTTCCTTCTGTTTCATCATGTCAAGGAAATAAACAGTCTTTATTTGATCGAATTGACTTCTATTGCAGTCCATAAAACAAGACATCTCTCAATCTATTATTTAAGGGCATCTTTCTCTCAAGTATTCAACTTTCAAATCTGTACATGACCATTGAAAAAAACACTTGCATTGAATGTTCTGGTGTTTATCATCATTGAAATGTTCTTATAGTTCATGGTCTTGTCTAAATTTGTCATTTTCTCCCTTCCTAGATAATCTCTTTATTTCTCAAACACACTGTTTATTTTTATCTCTTCTTGATCTCAAGGGAAAAAAATATAGCTATCTGCCACCTTAGCTTGGATTTTTCTTTTCATTCTTATTTTCATAATAAGCTTTTTTAAACGTTAACTTTTGAGTAAAAAAGTGATACCATTGGTATATATTAGATTGTTAATGTTTCAGACTCCAATTTTGATTTCAGCTGGGATCTTCTCCAATTCCGCCATTCATACATTTATTGTGCAAGTTACGAACAGTATGCATCATCTGTCTCACTTACTTATTCTGAGCTGTTCTGTTTCTCCAAATTATTAAGGTTCTTCAAAAGATTAATCAGGTGTTTTGCAGACTATTTAGCTCTTTTACAATCCATATTCTGGCATAATTCATGTAGCCACAAAGCAAAGATAAATCATCTTATGTTCTCTTATTTCATTATCTACCTTATATTAGCTGTGTGATCTCATGTGTCCCTGGTCTTTTCTGAAATCTGATTTTATTTGGAATTTCATATTTGTCTGTATTCTTTCCTGTAGGTTCTTTAAGAAAATTTTCCTTGTAATAATAGAAAGTACTTGTAGCTTGGGGTTTAGATTTTGGCAGTGGTTTGCTCTCCATGCTTATTTCAATTTAGTTTCTGAATGTTTCGTTACCAGACTAGGTAACATCATGAGCAGAATTTAAATATAGCTCCAAACGAACAACCAATCACACAACCAACTGACCACACAGGCACACAAGACATTTATAAGCTAAGGAAAATAGGACAAGAAAATCCTGATGTTGATGTTTCCTAGTCTGGTAACAAAACATTCAGAAACTAAATTGAAACAAGCTTACAGAGCAAATGACTGCCAAAAATATTTCTTGTGTCAGATATAAAAGTAGTCTTGGTTTGGTAATTTGCACATTCTTTTGAATTTCCCATCTTTGTTGTAGAGATGCACATCAGTTTCTTCCAGTTTTTGGGACAGCATTGTTCTGTATTGTTAACATTGTACTCTGGATTAGTAGTCTGAATTACCTTTCCTCTAAGAGCTTTAAATAGTTCAGTGAATCTGTTCATTTTATTTGGCAGCTGGTCTATTCCTGTATTATTTCAGTTTCTTGTAAAGTTGATTCTTAAGTATATTCTTTTTCTGAAAATGTTTCTGACATTCCATAATCCTTTTCATAAAAGTTTTCAATATAGTTGTCCCGTCTTATTCTACCCTCATTTGCCATTGTTATATCTCTTCTGTGATTAGTTTCAAGTATTTTACTTTAGCTGTATACTTCCTTATAGGCCTCTTTTCTTGTTATTTGTTAACATCGTTGCTTAAGGTATCTTTTCCTTTATAGTTTAACAGTGGAATTCTGCATAGCGGAATTCTGCATACGATTGCCATACCTCTTTCATGCGTGTATGCAAAGGAATATTTTGTGTTCAAGGAACAGGGACAAACCGGTCAGGAGACAGAGGATTTTTACAGTTGAAGGGACTGATAAAGGTCAGTGCCTTGTGAATCAAGTAGAGTGGAAAGACTGTGCAGGAAGATAAGTAGAAAGCAAACTGGGGCAGTGATTTTAGAAACAGATTAGGAGTAATGTGAAGCAGATGCAAGAAATGTAGAGGATATAAGAGACTATTTTTGCTCTGATACAAAATAGTGTGATGAATGTTGTAGACAAAAGGCAAACATTTAAAGCACCACTAACAATAAATAATCTGTGAATTAATCAGATTTTCTACTGTGTATAGTAACTGTTCATTATCAAGTATGCTCTTATAACATTTTTTATTGGAAATAACTTCAAAATAGTTCATAAGATTACTCAGCCAGCAAATGATAGCAATGGTGTCAAAGGCTGACACCATTGATGCTTATGGAATACAGTCTAATTTGTAGAAATCATGTTTCCAATAATTCTCATTAAGCACCACCAATATATTTATAATAATAATAATAGTAGTAAAGTTGGAAGGGACCTTGGAGGTCATCTAGTCCAGATCTGATGTATCTTTGCATCAAAGTCAAGTTGAGTTTTCAGTAAAAAGGCAGAAGATTAAACTACATAGGCCTCCTCCTTATAGCCCATTAAAATTTTAACAAGAAAAGGCAATAAAATAAAATGGAAGGCTGCAAATACATTTTTACATTGTGTTATTTAGAAATGAAAGTACATCAGTTAAATTAAAAGCATGTAAAAAAGACTATTTAGAGCAAATAGAATAAGGTGTATAAAGACAGATATATTAAGATAGAGTAGTAAGATGAGTGATTTTGATAAGAACAGTTTTTGAGTAAAACAATTACCATATTGTTAAGTGATCCCAAATTGAACCAAGCACTTCTTTTCCATTGTATTCAAGATACAATGAAAAAGAAATTAACTACTGTTTGAATTTGATTTGATAATATATGATAATGTCAAAAAACAAATTGAGTAAGTTCTGGTCAACTAATTATTTCAATACTTTCTTCGCAGGTTACAATCCCCAGGCCATCAATGGCATCCACACAGTCTACTTCCGAGAGTTTTCATTATGGGCATCATCTAGACAAGAAAGATCGGGATCCTCGGGTTTTGGAACATAGAGTTGAACTTTCCTCCCCTAAGGAGAATGTTGCTGGCTTGATTGAGGCAAATGGTGCATTGACTTTTAGCAGCAGTAGAACAGATTTAATTCTCAAATTAGATTGCAACCAAGGGACACTTGATAAAGATGTTGACGAAGGCATTGAAAATCAGAATAATAGCCAAACAAATTTACTTGAACAATACATGAAGAAACAAGAAGGAAGGGAAAATATGAACCTTGTTGAAGGAATAGAAGACAAAGAGCCTTTCATTATTTGTGAAGATATTGAAATACAAATTAAAGAACCCTGCTTGACTGCTTCAAGAAGCACAGAATCTGTTTTGGGTGGACCTCAGGTTATTACAGACCCCGAAGAACCAAGACCTTTGGCTAGCTGCTCCTTACTAAATCAGGGCACAAAACAGGAATTACAGAAACAGTCAGCTGCTGAAACATCAGATGTTTCTCTGTCAAGAAGTACTGACCTATTTGCTTACAAACAGGAAAGTCAAGAAATACAAGTACATGAAAATGGCTTCCATGATGAGGATATTGATCATGCTAAGGAACTGCAATGCCAGCAAGTAAAACTTGCCACACTTCTGCAAGAAAAGGAAAAAGAAGAGCAAAGTATTCAAAGAAATGGAGAACCATTCTATTCTATTTCAGAGAGTGAAACCTCTAGTCAGTCCAAAAAAGAATTGGTTAGATCACCATTTGCAGCCAGGCAGAGTCGCATACCGGTTTTAGCACAAGAGATAGATTCCTCATCAGAATCTTCTCCTGTTTCAGCAAAGGAGAAGCTACTTCTAAAAAAGGCCCACCAAACAGACTTGGTTAGACTATTGGTAGAAAAGAGACAGCTCAGATCTTTCCTGGGTGACCTTTCAAGTGCCTCCGACAACTCACTGAAGGAAAAAGTAGTTGCAGGTCCTGTACCGCTTTCAGAAGATGTATTGACCTCCTTTTCCAAATTAACATTGGACACTCATTTACGGAGTCAAGTACAAGAGAGCTTTTTGTCATCAAGTAATCCTCAACCCAGAAAGAGCAAAATACCAAGACCTGTATCTTGGACTACTACAGATAATACTAGCAGTTCAAACTCAGCTCAGTTTTTTCCTCGGCCACCCCCAGGAAGGCCACCAACAAGGTCTGGAGTAGAGGTTAGGTAAGTGCACACATAATATTTAAGCAATATGAAGTATTCACCTGTATAGTATAACACCTTACAGATTGCACAGTGCGTATTGCTTTAATTAATTGGGAGGAAGAGCAAGTGCATATGCAAATAATTTTTTCCTGATTTAAAACTGAGGAAAGGTTTGTATGAATTAATAACATTTGTAATCTATGCTTGAAGTGGATACGAGGTACTAGATTTCTAAATGTTTTGGTTTTCAGATTTGAATTATATAATTCTAAGATGGTAAGAATTGTTTGTATCTATGTGGAGAAGTTGAATATAAAAACACTTTCTTTCATTTTTATAATAAGCCCTCTCTATTGAAATCTGTCCGTAATATAAACGTCTATTCGATTATATTTTAAAAGGCTGTACTTAATAGACAGAAAAATTAGCCTGTAGCTTCATTGTAACATGTCTTTTGATAATGCTGCTAGAATACACATTATGTTTTCTATTTGCTGTAATGCAAACAACAAAATATAACAAAATGAGGTTTTACTTAAAATAAGTGAAAGTGGCTTGGTTAGAAGAAAATATAGCAAATAAAATACACTGTATTTATATTATATACTACAGTCATTAAGATGATTTTATTGTTGTGACTAGGTGATAACATAGAACTTTATTTCATTTAATTTATGACATCTACATGTCTGCCAATCTCATAAGAGCCTGATTTTGGGCAGCATACAACAATAAAAAGACTTAACAGACTTAAAATGAAATAAAATATAAAAATAATAGTAATAAAAAGAAATGCAACTTGCATAAAAATGTGCAAAGAAATTAGGCTGAATTAAAATAGTGCTACAGTTTGGAATTTTTGAGTTTAAAAGAGAACATAGTACTTGATTTTGGAGAGTTCAAAATGTGGTTTGTGTATCCATTCTGGCCCTTCTGAACTTCTTAACAGCTTTTGATACCATCAGCCACCTCTGGGGACTGAGAGTGGGGCACACTGAATGAGTCTATGACAATTTGCTGTGGCCAACTTGCCATGGCCAACTCGCCACAGGACAACTCGTTGCTGGATAAAAGTTACACTAATAACAAAGAAATGATGGAATAGAATCATTAAAGAAAGGATGCAAAAGGAGGGACAGAATGAAATGTGATCAACAAAAATTAAATTAATTTTTTATTTATTTTAAATAAGTAAATAGAATTGTTAAATTGTTCACCAGAGAATTGTTCCATGGCAAGTTGGTTGTGGCAAGTTGTCCTGCGGCAAGTTGGCTGTGGCGAGTTGGCCACAGTGAGTTGGCTGTGGCAAGTTGTCCCATTCCCCACACTGAATTGCAGTGGTTCTCCTTTCTCCATGGCTACTATCAGTCAATGCTAGTAGAGGAAGGGAGGTCCAGCCCTAGGGCCCTATTATGTTGGATGCCTCAGGTCTCAAGGCTCTCCTCCTTCCTATTTACATCTATGTGAAGCAATTGGGAGAGGTAATGCATCAACATGGGGTTCAGTATCATCAGTGTGCTGATGATACCCAATTATACCTTTCCACCCTGTGCTCGGGAAATGATGCTGTTTAGGTGGTGGCTCAGCACCTGGAGGCTGTAAAGGTCAAGATGAGGAAAAAACAGGTCTGAGTCAATCCTAGCAAAAGGGACTGGTTGTAGGTTTTTAGCCCACATCTGGCATCTGTAGAACTGACATTTCTGACTCTTGATGAGATAATATCCATCTGCACACAGATTTGTTAGAACAATTAATCAATGGAGCAACTTGCCTCCAGAAGTAGTGAATGCTCAAACAGTGCAAGTTTTTAAGAAGATATTGGAAAACTATTTGTCTGAAATGCATGAGCAGGGGGTTGGACTAGAACAGAGGTCCCCAACCTTTTGGGCACCAGGGACCGGTTCCGTGGAGAGGGGTTTTTCCGTGGACCGGAGGAGGCGTGGTTTCATGTACTGTCTGTATCCCGCAGATGAGGTTTTGCTTGTTTGCGCGGACCAGTTTCTGTCATGCCGCGGCCTGGTGCGGGGACCCCTGGACTAGAAGACTTCTAAGGTCCCTTCCAATTCTGTTATTCTGTTCTGTTATTCTAGTCTGCAATTTGGGGTCCTCTTGGACTCATAGCTTTTGCTGAAGGAGCAGGTGACAGCTGGGTGACCACAGGGCCTTTAAACAAATCTGCCCTTGCACCAATTGCACCCATTCCTAGAGTGGGAGACCCTGCTCACCATCACTGATGCCTTAATCACCTCCTGTTTGAACTGCTGCAATGTGTTCTACGTGGAGCTTTCCTTGAAAATTACACGGAAAATGCAATTGGTCCAGAATGCAGTGGCATGCACAGTTTTGGGTGTCCTGTGGTTCATCTGAACAATAATATTGCTGCATGAGCTGCACTGGCTTCTAGTTGTTTACTGGATGCAGTTCAAAGTGCCATTTATTTTATTTATTGAATTTATATGCTGTCCATCTCCTGGATAAGGTGACTCTGGATGGCTGTCATCTTTAAAGACATACATGGCACAAGTCCTGATTACTTGCAGGATGGTCTCTCCTTGAGGTTATCTGCTTATCCTACTAGTTTAGATAGGATGAATGTCCTCCTCTGTTAAATATTTTCGCTGGCAACCTCAGTGATTGCCACAATGGCACTAGAGATCAGAGAGCCCCTTACCCTTTAAGCCAGTGTTTCTCAACCTTGACAATTTTAAGGCATGTGGACTTCAACTCCCAGAATTCCACAGCCAGCAATGCTGGCTGTGGAATTCTGGGAGTTGAAGTCCACATGCCTTAAAATTGTCAAAGTTGAGAAACACTGCTTTAAGCCTCTTAGAAGGCTGTGAAGACATGGCTCTTTCCTCAAGCATTGGGCTAGGATGGGAGATTTAACTATGAAGATGTTTGATCTGGGATGGGGGGGGGAAATGATATGTTTTTAGGTATATTTTATGGATTTTTGTGCTGTCTAAAATCATTGTATGAGATGGATGGTGGCTACATAAGTGTTGTGAATAACATAAAGTAAATAGGAAAAAGTAACAACCTAATTGCTAATAAATAGAATCGCATATGGAAAGAGGTAATTCAGTTCTTTAGGTAATCCAACTCCTTAGATATATCATCAGCGTTTTCCTCCTAATCTCATAGGATTATGTCTTCCACTTGACCAACACCGTAGGAACAAAGGTGCTGTTTCATTGAATGTTTTGCAAAATTGCTCTTTGAGATATGCTTCAGGCATAATCTGTAAGTAGTGGAATGTGAAAGCCTTCTGTAGTGGAACACTGGAGTATTAGCCAGATATGGATAGTCCTCTTTAAGCAACCATACTAAAATCATGTGATCATGTCTGTGCTTACAGTTTTACACAGGACAATGACTGTAATGACAAACATATGGCTGAGAGAGAGAGAGACCCATTGCAAAGGTCATAAATGCAGGCATTGGTTACAAAGTTACTTCGTAACCTTCAGGTTGCTCTCTGGTTTGGAAGCAGTTCAGAAAGTGGTGAGGATGGCAAAAAAAGATTATTGGGAATTCCCTCCCTCCCATCCAGGACATAACATTTAAGCATTGCTTGAGCAGGGTCCGCAAGATTGTCCGGGACACACATCCTCTTCACAACCTGTTTTCCTTGTTACCTTCTGGGCGGAAGACTTTGTGGTATCCGAAGCAGAACATCCAGATTAGTCACAGTTTTGTTCCATACAGTATTCACCTTGTGAATTCTAAAGCTTCCTCCTTCCGTTATGTATTCAAGATGGACAGTGATTAATATTTATATGTTACTTATATGTAAGGGTGTAGGTATATACATATGTTGTATATAGCATGTTTTGTATGTGTGTTATGTATGTGTACACTTTTGAGAGCAAGCAACAGAATTTCATTTTTAATGTATGCCAGTGTGCCCACAGTAAAAAATGACAATAAAGGTTATCTATCTGAAGTAGTCATTAAGTGGGAACTACCAACACTAGGAAAGGCTTCTATGTTTTTATAAATGGTGGAAAATGAAAATCTGAATGACTGTTACTACAGTAGCATGTCTATTGGTATCCTCTTCAGAAAGTCTGCTTCTGAATTTTCTCTGCTTGAGGAATTAAGTTCCGTAACAAGTGGCAGAAAAATTATAGTATATGAGACAAAAGTTTGGTCCATTGATTCCCATTCACATAATGCAAGTAACAAGATTTAAATATGTGGGGTTGTTGAAGCCTTTCTAATTTCTCACAGTACCTTAGGGATACAAGATGGAGTCTTAACAGACATTAAGAGTAGACCTACTTTTATTCTTAGATGGGAAACAGAATACCTAGGGGGAAGACATTATTTTGGACTGTTTTTAACTGAGCAGTAGTCATCATAGTCCCCTTCCCATGTAATATCTGAGCTATCACTTCGTCCTGAAATATTTCAGAAGTGGTTACAAATTGCCTTCCTTTTAACTTAAAAAAAAAACCACCTTCAGGATAGCTCCTGTTGTACATCAGGCAGTTATTAAAACAATAGATAGATATGTCCTCCTCTTGCAGAAGGAGATGCTAGATATTTGAAGGAAGAGCATTGCTATATATTGTGGATGTCAGTTGACTGTGTTTTTTTCATGTTACCTGTGCCAAAGATCATTGCCTCAGTTTTGTTCTTTCCCAATATTCAGCCAATGACCAGCAGTCCTTTAAGGCCAATCTTGATGCAAGAGATAATATATATGCTAGGTGCAGCATATATTAGAATTGAAATTTTGCATCTATTCAGTGAGTGAGAAAAAAGCTTTGTGATTCCATAGTCATTATAATATCATTAATGTAAAAAATAATTTGAAAGGGAATGAGTGGACAGCCTTGCTTGACAACTTTCTCCAATGATATAGGTATATCATATAGGTATATAACACAGACTGAGGTTGCATATTAGCTCATAGTTTTATGTAGGGAAAAAGTTAGATATAGGAAGTCAGTTATACTAAATTTTGCAAATATAAGCAAATAAGAAAATAGTTAAACCATGTCAAAAATAAAACACAAAAGCTCCAGTTAAACAGCAATGTTAACACAATCTTAAAAGGTACAGATTGTTAAACTTTAAAAGTTGGTTTTGAATATTGGTGTTTTTTCTAGTGTTCAGATAATCTTTGGGAGAGAGCTTCTTGGATTTCAACAAGAAAATCATTACATATTGGTGGTGTCCTTATTGTACTAAAAAAATGTTTCTTTTACTTACCCATCAAATTAACAGAGCTTATATAGATTTATATAGGTCAGGAGATGAATTGTATGGATTTCTTTCCTGTTTATTTATTAGTTTTTAATGCTGCCCAACTTTGAAAAAATTCTAGGTGATATAAAATAAGAAAAACAACTACCTGAACAAAATTGCATCAATAATACTGTATTTATTTAAAAAGTGGGACTCCAGAAACAGCCTAACCAGGAACAGACTTAGGTTTTAAGAGACTTCTGGAACACTTGAAGAGTGGGAGCCTTATGAACCTCTAAGAGGGATGCTTTTCCACAGGACATGAACCAACAGAGAAGGAACGCTTCCTTGTTCCCACAAGATGACAGCATTTAACTAAAGGGACTTGGAGCGTACTCACTCTTCCCAAGCATACTAGACTGGCAGAGACAGCTGGAAACTTGAAGGGCTTTATAAATGACCAAAACTTTGGATTTCATCTGGAAGCTAATTAGTAGCCAGTGCAACTCACAAAGCAGAAATGACACATGGACATAACAAGGATCTCTATTACTCCTTGTGCACTGCATTTTAGACCAGCTGTAGCTTCTGAATAGTCTTCAGGGCAGCCCTACGTAAAGAGAATTGCAATAATCCAGTTGTGAGGTGACTGTTAATGTAATGTAAACATGTTTAAGCCTAACCCCACTACTTTTTTGAGTTGAGCATGGAAATACATAAAATATATGTAACATGACAGATCCTGCATTAAGGAACAGAATGCAGAAATGACAAATTTCTTCTTTTTTTTCAAGGTTGCGGAGGTACAAAGTGCTAGGAAGTAGCAGTTCTGATTCAGACCTGATCTCCCGCCTGGCTCAGATCCTTCAGAATGGATCTCAAAAACCACGAAGCCCTTCACAGTCTAAGAGTCCAGGATCTCCACATAGCCCCAAGACTCCACCCAAAAGCCCAGTCACTCCCAGACGCAGTCCCAGTGCCTCCCCTAGGAGCTCTTCTCTGCCCCGTACTGCCAGTTCTTCACCATCTCGGGGTGGAAGGCCACACCATGAGCAGAGAAGTTCATCCCCACATCCTGGAAGGAGTAAATCGCCTCCTAGCCTCTCAGGCTCTTCATCTTCCAGGAGATCCTGTCAACAAGAGCACTGCTACAACAAATCTAGCAAGAACGGTCTGAAAGGATCTAGTGGCTCTTGCCACCACTCTTCTAGCATTAAACCTCCCACTGGGAAGAACAAATCAGCCAATAAACTTAGCAGATAGGAACTGAATCTTGTCAAGTGTCAACCCCCCTCCCCAGTCAAACTATTGCATGTTGTGTCTGTGTACTATGTATTTAAAAAAAAAAAGAATCGTCTTCAAAGATTAGCAATTATCCTGACTTTTGGAGAAAAGCAACTTTTAAGATGAATTATTTATATGGCTCACTTTGTATAGGAGTGGCCAGGCATTGCCCAGGAAAGGGCAGCAAGCAGATCAGGGAAGCTGGAGAGCGGAGATGGAGCAGCCAGAAAGTCCATCTGGAATCACATTGTTTGGGAGATTAGTGTTTTAATATGATTTTGCTTTCCTTTTTATTTATTAAAACAATAAGCTGACTCTAGATTTTCGTCAAGGAAAATTATAAAACCTGAAAGAAATGTGCTGGGACATTACTATGCTTGAGGTTTAATCAGCTGCTATGTTTTTAAAGATTTTAAAAAGCACATTATTTGGGACAGCAAAATTCCTCAAAATCTTCTGTGTAATATTGGTCTTTGTCACAAACAGTTTCAATTTGTCCATTGCCCACATTCCTTCTTGATTGATAATTATCTCATCAACAGAAAAAAAGAACTTGTACCACTAAATATTAGATATGGGCTACATTTAGTATTTATATAATGGCACGGGATTACAACCCTGAATTTTAAGAGCTTGAGGTAACAGTGTGTACTTATATTTACAGATCCCAAAGCTTCTATTATCTGTTCGGGATCTGATCCATTTGATTACCTAACTGTTTATTCATTTCTAGGGCTAGTTCCAGTTATAGAATAAAAGTCAGATAATTTTAAATTATGGTAGAAATACAAAGGGCATGGGATCATGTAACATCTTTATGGTTACATTAATCACTTCTCAGGGCACCACTGAGAGAGCCAATGTAAAACTTAACTAGAATCTTTTATCCTTTATGAAATACTTCATTCACTTAACTTTACTATAATGTTCATCTCCAGTGTTATCAAACTTATGAAGAGGTGAAATGTTTACATGTTTAAACTTGAAACTTTATCCTTAATGTAGAAGAACATTGAAGCTTTAATCTTCATAAAGGTCACTGAAGAATACTAGAGAAGATTAGCAAATCCTTTATTTTCTTTAGAACCCAGGAGGTAATACTTGCTAGGATAAGGTTACAGGACTGTCTGAAATGTTAATGTCTCTAATCCTATATTGTATAAAAAAAAGTAGTATGCTTCTTTCCCAGTATGTACAGAGCCAATAGCTGACCAATAGTGCTATATCTAGGAAAGGGATCCCAGCATCCTCATGATTTCACCATAGTGTAGGTATACATGGTAGGTTCCCCCCTCCCACTTCCTCCAAAATATGCTTGATTTGAAATATGGAAAAGATACTGAAACATGTTTAAAGATAGTCTTCCACTTCCCCAAAATATTCCTTAATAAGATTGGTGATTTCTATTTTTCCCAAACATAGGTGTGATTGATTTAGATTGCCAGATTCAGAAATCAGTGATGAACGGAATACAATGCAGAATGTAAAATAAGTATGACCAGTTCTTTAAATGGAGATCTGGATTAGAGGATGCTAAATATAAGAGGGACTTTGGCAATTACTGATCTGCTTGCTGTAAGTCAGTGTTTCCCAAACTTGACAATTTTAAGGCACGTGGACTTCAACTCCCAGAATTCCACAGCCAGCGTTGCTGGCTGTGGAATTCTGGGAGTTGAAGTCCTCATGCCTTAAAATTGTCAAGTTTGGGAAACACTGCTGTAAGTCATACGCCTTAGCCAGCATAAATTCTTTTTAATTTAATGTTATTTTATTTGCTGCCAAAATTGTAACTCTGGATAAAAAAGGGAACATTTTCTCTGTGAGCTAACACATTTCTAATGCTGCATTGAAGCTGCACTGAATTTCTTTTGTTCTGTCAGAATGTGTTGGAAATTTTTTACTCTTAAATATGTATTTTTTTCCCCATAAGTAATGTAGCACAGTGTGGAATTGTAGCCTCATTCAGGTTTCAAGCACTACAGAGGGAGTACACTAGCTGGAGCATATTTGCTATACTTTGAGAAACTGAATGATTTAAAAGATCTGTTGTATTATATTGTATAATAGGTGCTATACCAATAATTGCATGTTCTTATAGTAAGTTATATATTATAAATATTTATAAATATATACATACACACATATATGCTTCTATATACTTTCCTGATTCTCCCATTATACATTTGTACAATTATGGACCATAGATCATGCTGTATTCTTTCAGTTACGTGCCTGAATTATATGCCCTTGGCCTTGTTATTCCTGTTTGCTGGCATGCACAAAGCTGAATATTTTTCATGCTCAGTTCCAAACAGAAAGAATACTCAAAAAGGAGTTGCTTGGCAATTCAGTGTTTTCGTATCAGCATTGACAGTTCACTTTTACAATTCTGAATAAAATGGAAGGACTTTGAGAAACTGTGTGTTTAATAGCCAAGGTCAGTGTATGGTCTTGATTTTGTCTCTTCATCTTCTTTCTGTATCTTTCTAATCCCTTATGAGAACTTTTTCTGTTAAAGTGTTTGTCACGATGCTGATGGTGATAAATAGATATGTGTGATATTAAAAAAATCAAGACTTTCTCTTCATCTTGCCTTGCCAGCTTTTACCCCTGTTCTCTACTTGCTGCAACACTGCAGGGACTTTCTCTTGAGGCTACTGATAGTAAAAACGTTACTTTTTTAAAAAAAACATTTATCAGCTGTATGGAGATACATTCAGCCAAGCACGTTATTCCAATAATTTAGGTGCTTGAAATATTCTATATATTCACCCCTTTTCCAATAAGTGCTTCCAGGGAATATATTTTGAAGCTGTATAATTTGAGTTGATATAAAACAACAAAGCTATATGATTTCTTTATGATAATTTCTTTTTGGGGATTGATATTAATTCATCTGGTTTCTCAAGGCCAACTTTAAAAAGCCTTCCTTTACATATAACCATTTTTAATTTATTTGCATTATCTGCAAGATTTTTTTAAAGTATATATATTTTACATTATACTTAAGGAATAATATTCCTAGAAAATTCCTAGAGGAACTCCTTTATAAATATGTCCAGAGCATCAGTATTGTAAGAACAGTTTCCCCTGCATGTATGGAGATGCATATCCCAAAGATTTATTTTCATGCTTTGCTGTCAGGGACAAAACAATATCTATTCTATGCATTAACAAAAAGAATGTTGTAGAAATATACATTTCTCTTACAAATGGTATGTGTATCCCAATATTACCATAATATTCAGATTCTTTTATGTTTAAATCATTTGTATTTCTTTCCATGTTGTAGAAATGGAAGGAGGCATGTTCCAGACTAAATGGTCATTGTGGAAAGCACAGGTTAATGTCAATGTGTTTTTAATGTATTGAGTGGATTCACTTTTTAGGTTGTCATTCTGCCAAAACATAGTCTAATAGTTATTAGAAAACCAATGGTTTACTGACAAAGCTTTAAATTATTGTAATAGAGTACTATCATCACTCTCATCTTTCTGTAGTAATCAGTGATTTTGTTACTAATGTGCATTCTTCTTTCCACAACATTTACTGCTTCGGGAAGCAAACCAAAAAAGTATTGTGAGTTAATCTTGATTACAATACCTTTAGTTAATAAAATAATTGTGCTCGTAACTTTGGGAAAGAATGTATTAATCTAGTTTGTCTTGAATAGTAAGTTTCAAGATTAATATGTTAGTAAAAGACAAGACAATTAATATGCATGGTTTAATCTGAATAAGCAAGTCCTACCCTCCACAGCTTGAGCCAGAATAAGAAATGTTATTTTTTATTCTTTCTGTAGAGTTCATAGAACATTTAGCCAATTAAACTGTGAGAGCACCATCTACCCTCATTCAGACATGCTCTGTTATATGAATGATTACATGCTGACACTGTTGCTGCTGTGCTGAAAAGTTACTGCTTTAGGAAAAGGGTTATAGCAAGAATTTAAAAAATTATTCCTGCCAGACCTTTGAAGGTTGGTTGGGGGTGGCGGATAATTTTTAGAATTAAAGCTGCATTGCAGGCACATTAATCCTTACATCATATTTTTGTCTACAGTATAATTGTACTGCATGGAACCTAAAGCAGCTGAAACTTACCATCTGTAGTGTCTTTGTAGGCAAATGCATATTATTAGAATGAAACAAACACATACGTTTACATTTGCATCAGAGATAATTTGTCCATTTATATTGTATTTGTATCAAAAACATGGAGCTCCAAGTGTAGCCTTCTTTCCTTAGGTTTCTTAAAAGTTAAGCAAATGCCTTGACATTTTGTTCTTAATAGTTAAATTTTGTTGGTCATCTTTCTTTTCAAGTAGGACTGTTCTGATCAGAGCTATAGGTCTTTGCTCTCAAGTTTGGTTAGATGTAGTTCTCTAATAGCTCAGTTCTTCCTGCAATAAATATAAACAATACCAATTGTCTATTCTGTAATAGTAATCTGTGTATATAAAAGCAGTTTCCAGAAGACAAGGGACAATAATTTTAATATATGGATATTGAATGATATTAAATACATACTTTTTAAGTCCCTTAGAAGTGTGAAAGAGTGCCTACATTTTTCAAAATCTATCCATCATCTTAAAATATTACTTTTACATTATCTTTTTCTGCTGCAAGTAAAATATCTTAATGTGGAAAAATAAAGGCAACTGATTTATATCTCAGAGGGAAAATTTTTTTACAAACTATTTAGGATGGAAAATTGAGATGGTTAGTCTTGACTAGTATGTTGTCAATTATGCTATGCTAGCTATGCTATGCTATCTTCTCTGGTTATGATCATTTGTTTGACATTAGGGTTAATTCAGTCTTTCATTTAGGTAGCATTGATCTTCTGGTGCCAGTCTTGCTCAGAGAATGGATCGGTAATCAGTTTCAAGAGCACCTTTCAATTCAGCAGTAAGAGAATCCAACATGAAGTCCGTTCCCTGCTGTCTTTTCTGTTAGTGTACCATTAATTTTGCTGCTAAGGTGTGGTGAGGACATTCCTACATTAGGCAAGTCATGAGGAAAACATGCAGATTCTGAGAACTGCATTAAGACCTCAAAGACAACTTGAATGAATGAGATCCCATGTCTATAATATATTATCTGCTTTGTTTATGAGTCATGACTAATAATAGCTAATAGATACTTCCCTAAATTGATTGCGTACTCAACTAGATAATCTGACTTGATGAAGGTAGTGCACAGTCTCTTCTGTTACTGTATATTAAATATAAAACAAAACATTAGGTTTCATGCTTATGGTTCTTGTTTGTGTAACCTTTTTGCTTAAGTATTTCTTTCAAGGAAAACAGGTCAAGGAGATAGCTGGGCCCAGTCCTCAAATCAGATGTATGGAGACATTTGTTAGTCTGCATGCATTTTAACAACCAATTGACTAATGTTAATATGAACAGAAATATACATGTAACACAGCTTTCTTTACAATTTTGCTTTCTATTTCAGAGAAACTTTTCCCTTCTGAAATCCCTCAAAATAGTTTTTAAACACAAAACAAAATGAAACCAAACTGTAATAACTTTTATTATAAAATTGTAATTGTGTCACCTATTTCATACTCATTCATATAATTATAATGCAATAGGCTGTACGTTGAGAGATAAAAACAATGAGAACTACTATCTGGTCTTGTTTTTTAAAAAATTAGTGATAGCTTCATTACTCCAGTACTATTAATTGGTTTCTATCATTCTTTTAGTAACAGTAATAATGGCAAACCCCTAAAACTAGTAAAACAATAATAATGGCAAACCCCTAAAACTAGAAAATATTTCAGTTTAACTTCTGTGGTTGTTTAGATGAGCAAGTTGTTTTTATGAACACAATTCAGCTTGCTTGTAGACAGTTCAAAGGAATATATTCCTTTTCTACTGCAATAATTTATCACATTTGAAATGTAGAAAGCACTGTGATAGGATAAAGCGAGGATCAGTAATGATATACTCCTTTATATCTCGAATTTTCACACAATTCTCTATGCTCAGGTTACAGTCCAAAATACTTCTTTTTGCTAGTAAGAACAGCCCATTATCACATTTAATTGGAGTGATCATTTGAAAAGAAATTTCAAAATTTCTCAAAATTTACTTCTTAGATCATAAACAGGAACTTTGATAATTTTTGGCTTTTGTTCACCTTAAATTTCAGCCTTTTGCCTTAATTTTCCACTGGGAATATTGGGTTAGGTCCAGACTGTTATTTGTCAGCAGGACTGTCCCAGAATTGAATAATGCAGTATACTCTTTCTGCTGGAAAATGGGGAAAGCAAAAGAAGATTGGGGGGTCAGATGGAATATTACTGGAAGAGAGGAATTAGTGAAAATTCTCCTCTCCCCATTTATTCTTCAGAAAGGAAAAACTAAGGAGGATAATGCCTCATCTCACTAAGTTGTGGCTTCTCAACTTAATATAAATTAGCACAAAAGTTCCTATATTATTTCCTATTAAAGTGATTGAAAGAATGAAATAAGAAAACAAAAGGTTGATTTGTTAAGATTTTTTTCTTAACACCTGAAAGACACACTGTATAGCACTAAAACAAGTGAACCCATTATACAGTTGCTGTTGCTAGGTAGAAATAATTTTTAGGGGCCAAGAATATGGATTGCCCGTTTCCATCCTGGAGCAGAACATGGAACACATAACAGGGAACACAGTCCATTGGAGATTGATCTTTGCTGAATTGTGTCTGTTTTGTGTGCTTATATTTAAGTATTTCATTTCAGTTTGGCATAAAGTGGGAGCCATTGAGTCCTTCCCATTTCTCTCTCATTTGCAAAGTAACAGCTTAGGTCTCAGATTTAGGTCTAGATTTCAGCTATCTGGACTAGTACAAAGAATAGTAATATTAATGTTGTGTTGACAAATGAAAGCTTGCCTTAAAAGGGACATGTTACACAGCTCCTTGGATTCTCTAGAATAGAATTATGCATCCAGATGGCTTTCTAATCTCTGGTTGCATGTTGTTCCTCAGTGATCAGAAAGCAAATATCTAAATCTTTCCCTTTATTAGTGAATTATCCATGGCCTGTTATGTTTTATGTTTGTCTTTTTTATTGCAAAAAAATATATCCAAATAAATTAAAATTAAATTTCAAAGCCGGGGTGACCATATTAACTTGAAAATTCTCAACAGTCTGTTTTTCAAATTAGAAGAGCCAACCATTATTCATTCAGAAAATACTATTTCAAGGATAATACAGTGAATTGAGATAAAAACATATTCTGAAGAGGTAACTTAGTAGCATCAAGAATTTCAAACTTTTCTTACCTTGCGTTCAGAGTTCAGATTAGATGTCTTACCATTTTTGCTTAGTCACTCAGAAACATAAGGTATTGACAATGGTGTCTTTATAATGCTCATTTGTACATAAAGATGTAGTTATTTATTTTACCCCATTTGTATCATATCAAGTTTTTGTAAATGTTTTGAGTTCTGTTTTTAAATTATTTTGTATTTTATTTTTATAAACTGGTTCTAAATAAAAATCATTCAGCATGCAAACAACATTGACTAGATTTGTCAATTTATTTTTAATGGAACTCATCTAAAAATAGTTTTGGATATAATGTAAATTGGAACAAGCTATGAAAAACAATAATTTTTCCTCTCTGGAAAATGGAAATGTGCCGCTGAAAAGAGGAAGTGCAGATTTGTGAAAGATCGGCTTTTGAAATTGTCAATAATGAATGCAGCATTTTAATAAACCTTTTCTATAGTAATGAAATAAATATCGGTAAATATGGATGTTTTCCTGCTTACTCTATTTCTTGCTAGCACATTCAACCAATTTCTGTTGGGTTCACCATGTCCCTATTAACATAGCTAGGGTGTACAGGTAATCCTTGACCTATGACCACAATTGAGCTCAAAATTTCTGTTGCTAAGCAAGACAGTTGTTAAGTGAGTTTTGCCCCATTTTACTTTTCTTGCCATAATTGTTAAGTGAATCATTGCAATTGTTTAGTAACATGGTTGTTAAAGGGAATCTGGCTTCCCCATTGACTTCTTTTGTCAGAACAAAAGATCACATGATCGCAGCACACTGCAACTATCATAAATATGAGTCAGTTGCCAAGCATCTGAATTTTGATCATGTGACCCTGGAGTCATAAGTGAAAAACGGTCATGTCACTTTTTCCAGTGCCGTTGTAACTTCCAACGGTCACTAAATGAGCTGTTGTAAATCAAGGACTACCTGTATTTTGCTTTTTAAAATGTTTTAGAATGCAGTGTCATGCCCATAAAATAAATATAAAACAGATTAGTATTAGTTTTTTAAACATTAAATATTTTAAATCTAGGGAATCAAAATCAGAATTAAAAGTATTTAGATATATAAATATACAGTTAATTCAGTGGTGGGATTCAGCTGGTTTGCACCAGTTCGGGAGAACCAGTAGCTATTTTTTTGTTGCCCAGGCCCAGAATGGATGTCCGGAAGCGGCATCCACACAGAGAACTGGTTGTTCACATATTTGAATTCCACCACTGAATTGATAGATATTTACTATTTTAGCAATCTTCCCATGAAAGTGAAAAAAAAAAAAGGGCCAGGATAATAGTAACACGTTAGACCCATTTGACAAAACAACTGCATATATCAATAGGTCATCATGACCTATTGTTAATTTAGGAAAGGTCACACTTTGCAATCTTTGAATTACTGGCTTACCTGTATTGAACCATTCAATCTAGAACAACCACTTACTACAGTAATGTACAGAAAGTGAGCCTTGTATGAGAGCAAGACTCCAACTCCGTTTCCATACTTAATTTGATAACAGTCTTGAAGGAAAGGCTTAAACACCTCATCTTCCATTATGAGCAACATTCTACTATATTTTATATAGCTGAACTAATCTTGTAAATAAATAAACGTATTGTAGATCTCAGGCCAGAAATGGCAACATGTGGCAGAAACTAACACCCCACAACCTTATTTTATGGTGGCATAAGATAGGAGCAAAAGAATAGGCCAGAATATATAAAGAAATTCAATTCTACAAATAGAAAAGATTTATCACATTTATATGCTGATCATTTACTAGGGTTAAATTTCTTGAATGTTCATGATTAATGGTTTGTGTGTGGTGGTCATAATTCTTTCAGAAGGTGGGATATGCTACACTGCAACCCTAATTTATGCTTCAAATCTGAATTTCAGTGAAGACCCAAGCGCAGATGTCTACCTCTGACACTATAGTTAAAAATTGTTACTAATATTTTAATATTAACAAAAGTTAGACACACATTTACTAGCTTCTACACTATGTCGTATAAAAATTAGTAAATTTGTATTTATTGTTAAAATCAATTAAAGCACACCATTTCACCTTTTAGACCAGGGAGGGTCCAATCCTGGCAACTTTTAAGATTTGTGGATTTCAACATGGCTGGCTGGAGAACTCTGGGAGTTGAAATCCATAAGTCTTAAAGTTGCCAAGGTAGGACATCTCTGTTTTAGACTAACAAAATATTTACAATTGCAAGGGTAGGACAAGAAAAATTCACAGGAAGGCAGGGATACAGGCTAGAAGATATTATTTGTGGCACATTTCTTGGAATATTTTCTTGTTTATTATACTTGTCACATTAAAGCAAAACACTTTTCTTCTGCTTTCTATAGAATCAATTCCATCTTGAAGATTTAAACTGGTACTGTATGTATGCTGCTTCAGAATGATTGGAAAATTGGATTTTTTATGACAAAGTGCTTTGGAGAGAAAGGAATCATAGTAGAGGTTTAAATAATACAATATTTTGAGGCAAATATTATCTGAGGATTTTAAAGCCTCCAATAATAATTTGCCTTCATTTCTCTCTCAACTGCTGTACCCAATCCAAAGATAGTTTAATTAATGGGAATAACACTTACCTCAGAATGCTACCTGAATCACAGCTTCTTTCTATTGAAATAGAATCTTAAGAATCCAGTGCTAATATGAATGAATAGATTCAAGCTGATTTAGTATGTATCAAATGATTATGTGAAAATTAACACAAAATTTGCTATATATCTGAGGCTGGCCCAAAAAGGGTTAGACCTTTAGAAACAACCTATGTAAATATATTTTCTGGCTTTAATAAGTAGTTATAGTGGACAACTAATTTTTCTTGTTATTTGGTTCTGAATTGCAAGATTATTCCGTCTGAATTTTCAGATATGTTATTACAGCACTAATCTTTCACCAAAAGAACAATAGTTCTTTTCCTTTCATTCAATTTTGTCCAATTCTCAGAATCTGTTCAAAGCTCTGAAGTTTTCTTGGCAAAAATTTTTCACAATTGGTTTGCTATTGCCTCCTTCCAAGAGTTGAGAAAATGATTGGCCCAAGGTCATTCTGCTCAGTTCATGCCCAAGCAGGACTAGAACTTCTGGTCTCCAACTTGATACCTTAATCACTACACCAAACTGGCTGTCAATGGTAATAATAATGGGTCACAAAATACATTTTCACAACTTGAACACTTGGAAGATTTATAATCTATTTTCCCTAATTGTTCAAAGTCTGATTTGATTTGTGATTACAACAAAGATAAAATAGTATAATGCTATTGTGTTATCTGAGGACTATGTATGCATGTCCTGTAAAAATTCCTTATACTTCAAAGAAATTGTCTGATTGATTAAAAAGGAGTGTTTTAAAAGGTGATTGTATTATCCAGTTAAACATCCAATGGTTTTAATATGAAGCAATTTGAAATGAGTCTAATGCATTAAAATTCTACCTGCTACAAGAAGCCTAAACGTATAACAGAACAGAGACGGAAAAGAAATGTAACTAAACCACCAGATGCTGCCTGAAAGAGTGGTGACCTTTTACACATTTGAAATATTTTATAACAAGCAACAATAGTTGAAGATACATTTATCCCAGTGTGATTCTTCACAGTATTTAATCTATATTAATAGCTCTAGAAGTGCCTTAATGTTGAAATTTCTTAATGTTACTAAATTCTCGTGCAGTTCTGTGAATCTGGCAACAGGCATCCAGCTTATTGGTATCTCTAAGGCAGGCTACCCTACAGTGCCTTAGAAATGCTTATCATACTATTTGAGATTTAACCTCTTCTATACCTTTATGGAGTTTTCTCAATATATCCACACTGAAAGAAGTGTTTTGTACAAAGACCTCTATAAAGACTTCTATAATAAATACACTGCTTTTTACCCAGTCTTCAGCATATCAGAGTACAAGCACAAAGGTCCCTAGAAAACAAGTCTCAAAAATACTCTGCTTTTTCTTTTTTGGACAAATTTCCTTTTATTATACAACAAAAGGCAATCTTCCCATTACTGTATATTTTGTGCAAAGTGTTTTGATGGGGAAATTGTATTCTGAACAGTGAGGCATGAGCAATAATGGAGGAATAATCAGGAAAAACTAGCAAGCACTTTGCTGGTGGTTTAGTGCTTCAATTCATTCCCAGTGCTAGAACAGGTAAGATCCATATTATATTATGGGAGAAGTACTATGCAGCATTTAAAGTAAGCTTTTTTTTTTAACCAATTCACAATTTGGATTGTTACAAAAAGATGTCTTATATGACATGTTTATACCAGAAAAAATAAAGCTGCCGCTATCTCTTCATTCTTTTTTTGTTTTAAACTCAACATGTCAAGATGTCAGGGTTTATTCCCTCTAAGCAAGTCAATGTATGAGATATCAGACAGGTAAATCTTATTCATTCTTACTTGGAAGTTAACCCGACAAGGTACAGCAGGACCTATTTCTGAGTAAACATGTATAGAACTGAGTTCTAAAGAATCCCTTTATTTAATAGTAAATATTGCTATATTGCCCCTCAGTCAGTTGAATCAATTTGTAACTAGTGTTTTTCCTCTTATGATACAGGCTTTCTGCACGTGGGGGTGCTGGAGATTTCATACATTTAGCATTATCAGAAAGGAATAGCCAGAGAAGTCTGTTAGCCATGATGCAGTGCTGGAGCAGAGTACAGAATAGCTACTCAGATGTCACAGTTGCTTTACATGTATTCAAGTCTTACACATCTGCAAAACAGAAATAGTAGCAGCCATTTGAATGTTCTTTCTTAATAGGTCTGTGTGGAGGCCGAGGAAATTCTGAAGGGCCTGGTTCTTGTGACATTGAGCTGGAGCTGCAGCTGCTGCTTCTGCTGCTACTCCCAGCCACTGGTACTCTAACTCTGTCCTCAACTAAAGGGGAGCCAGGACTCAGGTATCCTGCAGTGGTCTGAGTAGTGACAGTAGCAAAGGTAGTTGGACCAGCATTGTTTTTCACGTATACATTTTTTATAGCAACTAACGTATGTGCCATGACACTGAGGCTGTTGTTGAGATCTTGCATTCCTTGGTGTAGCAGCCGAAGATTATGATTGATGCTATCAAACCCAGACTGAATGATATGCAGCTGATTCTGTTGGATCTGTAAGAGATCTTCTTCTATAATTTCATTAGAGTCTGTCTGGGGTTGAATTTTCGTTTTGGCTTTTACTTTTCCACAGGGGCCTCCGTTTGGTATCCCCAAAAAAGGGAGCTGCTCCTGGCTAGGAGGAACAACTGCCATATCTTCTGAGCTTTCTTCTGGTTCTACTACTTTCACCACTATTTCTTCTTTTAGATTTATTTTCTCTAAACACGGTTGTTGGGATGGACCAGGATCATCTGTAAAACCTGAAAGTAAAGGCATAACAAGTTAATCTCTTTATGAATGGAATTCTTGACTATTAAGCCTGGGTATGACCAACAAATAAAAAGTGACTACAATCATTCTGAAATGATCGTAGTTTTCACTGGATATCCTTACCACTGTAGTTCTAGTTTCAACTGGCAACTGAACGTATCTTAATGAAAAGATCAAATGTAAATTGAATAATCAAACACTTTTTAAAACACAACACAGTTTAACTGAGAAGAGTGCAGGGGAAAAACAAAAGTAAATATAGTGTATTATACAAAATATTTACTTGTGTTGTTTACTGTAACTTTCATCTCTTCCAGGAAATTGAAAAATGTTATGAGAAGAGCACTTCAATGTGTTTATATATTAAAATGCATAAAGACCTTGTTTACACAAGATGAAGAATTTCTTCCTTATTGAAAAGTTTTTTTTATGTCTTAAAATGCAAATATTTAATTAAATTAATTAATTTTTAAAAGCTAAATTTAAAAATACAGGTAGTCCTCGAGTTACGAATGGAATGTGCCCATTCCATTTGTAACTCAAAAATTTGTGGGAGTGAATCTTGTACCTCAAACGAGATCACTCCTGCTCATTAAGACGCATGTGGCTCGTTAAGTGCATATGAGGTATATTGGGGCGGGGAAGGCCATGGAGGGCCTAGCAATGGAACAGGCCCCCAAGGCCTCCCTGACCCACTAAGATACTGGATGCTTCCCCCCCTCCCTTCCTGCTACACCGGACTCTCTTACCTTGCAAAAATCCTCTTTGTTGCAGTTTCTTTCCTTTTGAGGGAGAGGAGAGTCGGTTTGGAAATGCCGACAATGGAAGATCCTGGGTGCCATAATATCACGCAAGTTCAAAAGAGAACATGGCCCCTGGAAAATTCCATTCTGGGAGGGGGGAGTGTTTGCTTTGTTTGCTTGCCTATAGGGCAAAGTGTGGAATCGGAGTCAGAAAAGTGCAGGAACCAATGTCGTCCGTGGCTCTGGTGTGCTGCTCGCTCGCGTGCACTAGCCTTAGTTTGAGGGCAGGAACGAAGCCTTCAACTGAGCAGGGAAGCATCATGGGGCGAGTCCCCTTGCACCTGTGTCCAAGCTGCTGATGGTAGTAGCAGCCACCTGAGTGACCACGATCTCCCCTCTGCAGCCAACCACCCAGCCTGCCTGATCTACTACTTGCCTGACCGGCCAGTAGCCCAAATCCTGACCACTCTTCTTGTCGTCCTCCCAACTGAAGGGGCGGCGGCGGCTTGAGTTTCTCCGCTCCATCTGAAAGAAACCAGAGGTGCAGAGCAGGATTGCTTTCAAGAAGATGCAGGTGCGCTGCTAGCTCGCATGTGCCGGCCTTTTTGAGAGCAATCCTGCTCTGCGCCTCCATTTCCTTCCACTTAGATGGAGCAGAGAAATTCAAGCTGCTGCTGCTCAAACACTTTTTATCTGAACACAGACCTTGGGAAGATAGGGAGCTCCTTCTGTGTGCAAATGCAATTCTTGAAAACGCAGCAAATCGCTGCATTTCCAAGGGTCCCACAAGGCGCTCAAACACCTTTTATCCAAATGGAGACCTTGGGGAGATGGGGAGCTTCTTCGATTCGCTGCATTTTCAAGTGTTGCATTTGCACACAGAAGGAACTCCCATCTCCCTAAGGTCTCTGTTTGGATAAAAAGTGTTCCGGTGGGGGCGGAAAGCAGTTGGGAGGGAGCAGGAGACAGGCACAGAGTTTGTGCCGAAAATGAAAGTTTCTGGGGTCTGTGATCTTGTGAGAGTTCAGGACCCATTTTCTGCAAAAAAGGATGAGTGCCTGAACTCGTGCGATACTACAGCATCCAGGAGCTTCCGTTGACTCTCCTCTCCCCCAAAGGCAAAGAAACAGCAGCAGAGAGAAGACAGATATTCTCAAGGTGAGTCTGGCGTGGCAGGAAGGGAGGGGGAAGCAGTTGTGGGGAACGGGGGGGGGGGGAGAAATAGAGTGAATACTGCAGAGTCTCTGCAGTCATTCATAAGGGCGAACAACTGCTGTGGTCCTACAACATTCATAATTTTGGTATTTTCTTGTAAACACTAAGGGGCGCTTATCGCGTAACTTCGAACGAGTGTTAAGTGAACTCGGGGATTACCTGTATGATGGTTTGGACTTCAAAGCTGCAAAGTGGTATAGAATTAAAGTCAGGCTAGAAACCAGGCAACTGCAAGTTCAAGTCCTGCCTTAGGTACAAAGCCAATACCTGGGTGACTAGCCAATAACAATCTCTCTCAGCCCTGGGAAGCAATGACAAACCATTTCTGAAATCCTGCCAAGAAAACTTCAAGGACTTGTGCAGGCGATTGCCAGAACTCAACAATGGCTGGAGGGCATTGTTTTTTTTTAAAAAAATCAATGATTATGCAAAAAGATGCTGCACTAAGCCAGAATGTGAATTTTGATGTAGTATGCTTCTATAAACCATCTACTATAGCTGTGCCAAAAGTGATACCACAATATTATGTATGAGTGCATCTATTAGGGAAGTGTTTTTAAAGTGTTTTGTTGCGGAACAAAACAGAATATAGTGCATGCAACCAAATTTTATTCTCTGTGGAATAATTCAGATTACAGTATATCTCATTCATCATCTCTCACAGATTGCCCCATTGATTAAATCTTGCAGGGTTATTAATAGCCCATAAGTAGCAGATAGAAAGGTAGAGAAAAGATGTTATCTTTTCTGGGGGCACTGCCACCACCATTTCTAATTTGAAATATGAAGCCGCATACATGGGGGGAACATAGTCTGCAACATGTACTAACATATTCTTAGATATTCCAGATCAATACAGGTGGTCCTCAACTTACAACCACTTGTTTAGTGATTGTTCGAAGTTACAACAGCACTGAAAAAAAGTGACTTATGACTGCTTGGCAACTGGCATGTATTTATTATGATGGTTGCAGTGTCCCAGGGTCATGTGATCACATCTTGCAACCTTCTGACAAGGAAAGTCAACGAGGAAACCAGATCCCCTTAACAATCATGTTACTAACTGAACAACTGCAGTGATTCACTTAACAACTGTGGCAAGAAAGGCCGTAAAATGGGGCAAAACTCATTTAACAACTGTCTTGCTTAGCAATGGAAATTTTGGGCTCAGTTGCGGTCTTAACTCGAGGACTACCTGTACAATTGATGTTCAGTGTAAGAAAAGATTTCAGACTGCAGATTTTTTTAAAATTAGAAGTGGAGCCTAGTGTAGAAGAAACACTCTTACAAACTAAAGAAACCCAACCTAAAAGTTTGATTTAGTTGAATGATACTCATTATTCTTCTCTTAAAAATATCTGTTCTGAATTCTTGGGGTGGGAGAGATGGGTAGTGTCTTGTTACTAGTCTTAAAAAATGGGGAGTCAAAAATCGTCAGCTTATCTACTGCAAATCATCTAAAGTCATACCAAGAGATCCTGGACTCTGTCTGCTTCAACCTAACAATATTTCCTGAAAGGAGGAAAGGATATTGGCAATTGTCTTTGAAACTTTTAATTTCTAAGCATAAGCAAGCAGGAACCTTTCCGTTTCTAATATTCTTACAATTAGCTATGCACCTTGTTCTGCATCTGTCCATTGGGTTATTTTCAAAATTTAAGTACAAATTATGGTTTGAATTCCATAATCTAAAATTTCCACATTTACTAAAAATATATTTCTGCTACAGTAAGCGAGGAATTTAAGCTTGCCCCATCTTTACTTTCTATTATTTTCTAATTCATTTTAGACAGCCCAGCAGGTTAAAAAAAAAAAAAAAAGAAACCAGATCTTTCCATGCTGTTTCATCTCCAGTTATTGCATGGAAAAGTCTATTACTTTGCAAAGAACTGCCATCAATCTAACTGAATTTAGCACAAGGCTCTTTTTTTTCTCATTCTGATACTCCTAATGTTCATATCTATTTAAGGAGTATTTATAGCACCGGCCTGGAAGCAGTTCTTTAACCCAAGGACCCATTTCCAAGATGTTCTGACCCACACGGAACTTTAGCCGCATACATTCAACGCAACAGCAACTGCTGCAGCGATGGAGTTAGTTCTTATCCAAACGGCATCCAGGAGCTTTTCTTCCGGGCATAACAAGAACAGAAACTGCGCGCTGCACAACACCCAAAGGGATGGCCAAGAAGAGCGCTTCGTGGTTCCGCTCCACGGCCAAAAGCCGCCGAAAAGCCCCGAATCAACGGGGAAGAGCAGCGAGGCGGGGGAAACGCAGCCCAGCCGGACAGCGAAAGGCTGCGGTCCAGCTCCATTTGCAACTCACCCATATCGGTCACGGAGGAGGCTCTGGGCAGATCCAGGGTGTCGATCCCCCCGACGATGGGCACAGCCTCGTTGGGGGCAGGCAGCCCCGAGGGGTAGGATCGGAGGTGGTCGGGCGGCGAGGCGTCCTCGTTGCCCATCAGGAGGCCGAACGAGGCGGGGTGGGGGGCGACTCCGCCGGCGCCGTGGGTGACGCGGCAGAGTTTGCTCCGATCGCGGCGCTTCAGGTCCCGCCAGCGCTTTTTGAGGTCCTCCACCTCGCGAGGGCAAGCGGCCACCGGGTTCACCTTATGCCGGATGAGCTCCCAGACTTTGCGCTTCTGGCCCGGGGAGGCCCGGCCCGGCCCGGCCGCGAACAGCACCTGCTCGTGTTTCAACACCTGCTCGATCAGCACCTCCGTCTCCGCCTCGTTGAAATTGGCCTTGCGCCGCTTGGGCGAGTCTTCCGCCATCCTAAACCTCCAGCGGGGCTGCTCCGAGAGTCCGCGATGGGAAGGCCGCCCGCGTTTATTGTGCCGCCGCCACCGCCGCGCCACCGGCTCTAGGCCAAACCCCGGGCCTTGCTCGGAAAGCAAATACCGCGCATGAGAGGAAAAGACGCGCAAACCCCCGGCGCAGGCGCCCCGCTTGTTGACATGGGAGGGGGGGTGAGGCAACACCGCTCCCGCGGCCCTCCTTTGAGCCCGCCCCGCTGTGCAGTCCACCAATCCCCAGCTCCAAAGCGTTGGCGCTTCCCAATGGGGATCTTTGCCGGGAAATGGCTTCGGCCCCTCCACTCGCCGTGCATTTCATTCCCCGCCCCTTTTCCGGAGCCGGAGCTTCTGGCCACGCCCCATTGTGCCTTTCAGCTCCAGGAGCGCGCGCTCTTTTTGCTCCCCTGAGAGTTTTGATCCCGCCTTCCCGGAGGGGAGGGGGGAGCGGCGCCCTCTCAACCCAGGCGTCCGGCGTCCCATCCGTCTCTTCCCCCGCGCGCTCCTCACGTGCTGAGCTGTAACCCGGAGTTAGAAAGGAAGCTAGAACCCGCCCTTTCTCCCCCTCCTCGCTCTCTCTCGCTGATTGTCAGGTCGGCTTTGGGGTTGCCGCGAGGCGGGTTGCGCGCCTTGCTCGAAGGCTGCAGAAGCGGCGCCTCTATAGGCGGCGGGGATGGCGGCTGTTTTGGAGCTGCTCTTGCGGGACGAGGTGGCAGCCAGTGCGGTGGTGCGGTGGCTGAAGTCAAGCCGGAGCTGCGCCAAAGAGGTAAAACGCGCAGCCCGCTTGGCAACAGCGACGCTTCTTAAGTTAGCCCTCGGTCCTCCTCCCGTGGGGCGGGAAGTTGGCTGGGCGGCGAAGTTTCTTCTTGCCTTCAAAAGCCCTGAAAAGGAGGCGGGAAAGCAGGAATAGTCACCGCGCGCTGCCTGTAGGTGCTCCTGCTGCGTGGCCCTGGAGGGTACTGAGCAGGACGCCTTCGGGCCTCCATTATGTGTGCGAATCCAGTCTTCTCTTGGGGGAGCCGCGTAATCCTGACCCCGAGATCCCATGCACTCCTTTCCCCAATTTCACTGACCTGCACATGCTTACAGGTCAAACTTGGCCGAGGGTCAGTGTTTTTGCAACCAATGGCGATCCGCTCCTCTGAAATAAGACTGCGAAAATCAGAGGAAACTTATTCCCAAGCAAATTCGCCCAGAGTTGCAGATTTAATGAAAACCATATTCATATCTGTCTGCTGTCTTTTGCGCATGTGGGGATGAGTTCTTTACAAAGAAGTTTTGCCTGTAGGGTGGCAAATCAAAACATCCTCATTCATGATCTTGTGTTAAACTGAAAGGCAGAAAGCAATGACACTGTCTTTTCCTGTGCCGAGTCAAATAACATTGTATCCAAAGCCAATCAAGTTACGTTGGCACCTGCAGCAAACAAAAAAATATATGATAATAACTGCTTATATGTCAAATGACAGAAACAGTCACATCTGTGCAGCTTGCCAAAAGCCAGTCTTAAATATAATCTAGGATTTACTGATCAAGAATTAATTTTAATATGCTATCTAAATCATCAGGAAATGTCATGGGGTCTACAAACATAATTCTCCTTAGGTATGAAAATTTATAACTTGGAGAACTGTGGAATTCCTGAACTAACATAAAGAAGTCATCTTTGTACTAGTTCACTCTTGAAAATTAATGTTGGACCTGAGTATTTGGTCTCTACACACACATGCAATGTATGTGTTTTGTTTGATCAGTTTAAAGCAATATTACAGCCTAACTGCATAAAAGTGTTTCCTATTGCCAGTGAATAAATCAATGTTCAGCAACTCCCAGTAATTGGAAAGTAATTATGCTGCCTTTATAAGCAGCTGTTTGAACAAATATATGATTGTCTTTTATTATACTGGTTATTGTATAGGGTATTTGAAAATTCTTCTCTTGTGATTACAGTAATTAAGTTATGCATTGCTGACTAAAACATTCTTAGTGTCATTCAAAAGACTGTCTTTATCTTCAGTGCCTTTGTATTTTGAGTGGTGCATGGGAACTAATAAGATTTTTAATGCCATTTGCTGATGTAGAGATGCTAGAGAAGTGTTAATTAATTGTTTAATTTTAATTATTAAAGCTATTGTTAAAATTAACAATAAAAAACTTGAAGTAGAAATAAAAGAACTAGGGCAACACTCAGATGCGCAAAATAAACTGGACATCATTTTTCTATGCTCAAAAGACTCTCTGCTCCAAATTAAACAAATGTTTAAGAAACAAATAGGAAGCTTGCATGTTGCAAAGCAAAATTCTAACCCTCAAGTCTAGCACAATATTTATTTGCAGCAATGGATGCCAGAGGCTCTAACTTCCCTTCTGATAAGGAATGAAACCACAGGTATAGGCAGAGCATCACTGTACTTTGCCTATATAAAGAAAAGAGGTGACTTTAATGGTAGAACCCCTCACTTCTCTGATATTTTTCAGTCTGTCAGGTGGATGCTCAGTCTTTTCACTCCCTTAAATCAGAGCTGCATTTTAAATATGACTAGATGATTTTTAAAAAAATCCAACTTAGTGAACTCTGATACGAAAGTAGGGGAAGAAAGAATGTTGTTGGTTGGAAATCCATCATAATTTGCTATTATGTTTAATAATGCACAAACTGATTTGAACATAATTCAGAATATAAAATATAATTGTCATTACTTGAAATGCAAAACAGATTGTTCTTAGAAGACTTTAGTAGTCTGAGAACTTTTTTAGACTTCGTCTTAATGCTGTTCAAAGGCAAAAGCTAAGGCTCATGGTCCATGGTGAGAAACATTTCTACACTATTATTGCATATATTATTATATAACCATGTTGTCATTTCCAAGGGTAATTACAGTAAGGCCAAAATTGTGGAAACCTTTTGGGAAAAGTGTATTTTTGAGGTTTGATGGCTAATAACACTACTTTATTTGGAGTAGTACCACCATAAAATTATATATCAATGGAAAGATAATTTAATCAAGAATGTAATGCAACAAAGTTTGTTCAATTATCTGTACTGTATTCTATGAAAAGTTTTAGCAACATAACCAGAAAAAGGAAGCACAACTTTTTAGATTGATATCAGGTAGCTTTCCTTCATCTGATTGTAGCCAATGAGCATGAATGTTTAGAGAGCCAATCAGGTGTCATCTTGTTTTGGCAATGAGCCAATCAGATTACAGTAGGATTCAGTTATTGATGTCATGTATTGAAGCTGAGAGGAGGATATTTGTCAGTGTGTTATGTGATCACTATCAAGTTGGTTGGGGTTTTTTTGTGTTCTTTCATTTAGTGAGCTTGTAAAACGTAATAAAATTAAATGGTACAAAGAGTTGACTGGTTGCCCAGAAAGTGATGTAAAATAGTATTATTAAGTGAACAAGGCTACCGTTATAAAGAAATTAGAAAAAAAATTGGTGGAAACTTAACCAAAGGTGGCATTTCTACACTTTCCCAAAAGGTTTCCACAATTTTGGCCACTACTGTATAGTCTTGCAATTTCTAGCTTCCTAGGCTTTTGAGAGAGCATGACACTTAATTTTTCCTAATTTACAAAGACTCCTGAAACTTTCATTAAATGTAAACCAGGGTTCAGAAATTTTGAGTTTCCTTGATATATGTATGGATAAATTTTAGTTTCCAACAGCAATAGTAATACTTTGAAGTTGAAGTCCTACTTCCTAGCATGCATAATAAAAAAAAATCCTACTAAATGTAATAGGTTTTCTAAATAAATAGAAATAATCTAGAGTACTTTCTGAAAAAAATGTTGATTTTAGAAGACAACTTTTCTGCTGGGACTATTTAATTAGACTCTTGGGAAGAAAGCTTGCAAATAAGGAATATTAGCATTGCACAAGATGTTGCTCAGTAATTCCTACACTGTCATTTACTTAGGCTGAAGCTTGCCTTGCAGAATCAAGGTAGCAATGAGTTCTACTAGAAAATTGATTCAGGGTGGTTTTATCCAGTTTTTGCCCCCTTTAGGGGGAGAATATTTCTGAATGCAATTCTGCTCTGAGTACAGATGTCAGTAAAAAGGAATAAGGGTAAATGTCATTGATTTTTTTTCCTCTGTCACTCCCAGAACTAGGACTTTTACTCTTCTGTTAGGACTAACCATCTTTGTACAAGATATTAAATAAATACATGGGAAAGTACATTCTGAGAAAAATTGACTAACATTAAAACCACTTCTGTTGTACCAGTTTCTTCATGATTTAGAACAGTGGTCTCTAACCTTTCCGGCTTTGTGGACCTGCGCTGGTAGCGGGGGATGGTTTTGCACACACGCCGCTTGCGCAAATGCAGCTTTGGGTGCTTGTCTCTCGCCCACTGCTTGTGTGGCCCGATTCCCAATATGCAGCAGCTAGTACCAGACCCCAGACTGGGGGTTCGGAGCCCTGATTTAGAGGTGTTCTGTGGATATAAGCAGCCCTTCTGTCTAAACACGCAGATTCTGGATTAAATCTATTGGTCACAAAGTATTAAGTTGGAATTCTTCATACTTGTAATGAGCAAGTATATGACTGTCTATCTGCCCCTGCTTAGCCCCTCCTGCAGATGGAAGTGGCTAAAATTACCATTGATTGACCATGGGAGGAAATGACCAGAGCATTTTGACCAAATCATTATTCCTATGTCCTCTGTAACAAGAGAACATCTAGCTAAGATTTATGTTTGTGGGGTGAATCGAAAAGCAAGAAACTAGCATCCAGGTCAGAACCTAATACTTAGTTTTTATTTTGGTTAGTTTAATGAAAATGTAATAAAAATTAAACATTTTGATATGTGAAACTTAAATTCCCCCCCAAAATAGAGATGCATTTGCAAAATGAGTATTCTGATTATAGAAAATGAGTATTCTGATTATAGAAGATTTAATAATACTGATAGAAAGAGCCAAAACAAGCTTCTGTTGAAGCTTTTCTATGGCATTTTTACACATTGGAATCAAATCCATCTCAGACAGTTAGTAATATCATCTACCTGCAATCTTCTGTTGAAAAATCTGATATAAATTGTGATAAATACCTTATTATTGTTTTGCTGACTTCCACACATCTCTATTTCTTTAGAGTAGAAAACAATTTTGCTGTAATAATGAAGGAAAAAAGCAAAGTCTTGATTCTCATACTCATTAAAAGGAGAAAAACTGATGGTGGAAATCACTGTGGTAAACAAATATTTTAAATAAATATTTCAGCATATACGGGATGATGCTTTTCCAAATTGGCAGTTG